TACAACACAAAGGTCGTTATTACAGAAATATATTAGTTAAAGTAGATACAAGCGAAAGTAAGACCACTGCCGCATAGGCCAGTCCATTGTATACGATTAACTAATGCACGTTGGTTGTACATGACCTCGGCAGGGAGCAATGATCTGTTCGACATTCAGTGATCCAACTGCCGGGTGATTTGGTCAGGGCTCAGTGACATTTCACTGGCCCTACAAGGTCATATATGCACGAGACAACGAAACATCCGTTCCACACCGCTTTTTCAAAACACGTACGTCATCCCGGTGGACATGAAAAAAAAGTAATCGGCTTTCAAATGTAACTGCGCTTTCTTTTCCACGGCCTTGTACAGTCCGAAACACAGTGGATATTCCAGATTTAAGCTTCTTGAGGTCAGTTGTGTGTGTGTGCATGCTAGCATGGTTCTCAGGTGCTTGAGTAAGTTTGTTGTACATTCTATCATAGCCAGGTAAGCTAATAATCTGGCCGAAAATCACCACACATTATTCTACAGATCTACGATCTCTGTAAACCATAGTCCTGTTCAAAGTTAAAGAGATGACTGACAATCAGTTAATTTGGACCTGTTGTTGTTCTCCGTTAATGTTAATGATACCTTCTGCACTATGGTTAATAAACTTGCTTTTTAATTATAATTTTTTTATTTTCTAGTAACGCAGTACCATTCTTCGTGCTTCTTGTCCAAGAAATATTTCAGTTGACTCGACTGATGCGTTAAGGCCTAGTATGTTGGGCAGAAGGTTTATGATTTGGGTGGAATTCGGAACAACTTGGAATGAATTCCGGTACGTAGGAGAAATATGTTGTATGCACGTTAGATCTAAAACATGAACCCTAAAGCCTACGAATAATTGATAAACCATGGAGACCGTTAATATGAAGTGGAATTTTGGGTCTAAATTTGTGGATTGTCAGTCAATGCTTGGCGTGATTCTACAATAGAATGAGTATGTGAAAACGTCACTCCGGATTGCAAATAATCATCGTTGTGAAGGTTCGTGGATGATTTATGCTCCGCAGGAGAGGTGAATGGCTTCAGATGATAAGGACAATGTCAAGCCGTTGCTAATCTAACGATCGTCCTTAGACTAGGTGGTCACGTGTGTTAGAAAGCAGAGGTGCCTTGAAGTTGCTGCAACTGATTTGAAGACAGTGAAAGCACAAATGTTCATAGTTAAGTGTGTACACTTCTATTTTTTAAGCTGTAGCACCAGATTGAAGTCTTTAGTTTGCTAAGACGAAGAGGTGAACTGAGGAAATTTTCTTTAGAAGACGGACTCGTAACTAGACTTTGTTTTAGCAGCTACGATCACGCCGCTTTTGGCAAACGATATCTTGAAGTTGTTAGTATGGATTGGATCACCGACAGATTTGATGGTATTTGTTCGTTGACTATTGAACGGAGAGTCACCAGTTGTTATTAGCTAGTCAAAAAACCTAATTAAGAAATCTACTTCACATTCTCAGTACTGTAAATTGACCTTAGTAACTTCCTCAGCTAGCCGTTTGTCCTCTTTAATATCACGTTATATTTTATTCACAATTATGAGCTTATTGTTTATACGGAATAGTTTAGTTATATAACATAAGAGCAAGTAAGAACAATGAGAATAAATAATTGTTTCAAATGTCATCGCAACTGCAGCAATACAGAAAAGTAGACCAGTACTTCTGCCCGCACGTAGGCACAGGCGGTCCGTGTACAGTAGACTACTGAAAGGGCTTTGTTAGTTGATGGGTACCACGGCAATAAAAGTATGTGTATCCAAGGACTTCGTTGATTTCATGGTGGTTGTAGAAACAAGTGAATGATAACAATGGACATAGTCATATTAAAATATTGGGATCACGAAACGTACATACAGTAAATATTAAATTTATTTGTCCTCCATTTGTACATAGCTATCCAATAAACCCTCCTACTCACAGTACTTATCGACTATGCTTATTAGTCAAAATTAATGACTAAAAATATCTCAGCTGAACATAAAGTTGATATAGGGCATCTTAGCCACAGCAAATAATTTGTACAGTTAGCGCTGATATCCCTAAAAAATTTCTTGTAACATAAACCAAACGCAAAGTTGCGTCGGTATGACTGTGTGTAGACTGTACTGAGTGAATTTCAGTCAATGCAGAATTCATAACATGAATGCGTGTACCAAATGTATCACGCGTTATGTCTTTGAAATACTCCTGTAATCCTACAAAGTCTTTGAATCGTTCTTGCATGCAAAGAGCATATATAGAGGTGAGTCCTTGCCCAGCAACTAGCTAGATTAACAAAAAAATCAAAATAAGGTTGTTTTTATCCGTAACTTACCCAATTTTATCGGTCTGATAAGTTGAATCAATTCATACGACCGCTGGAAACGCATAGTATATAGCTTTTTGCTCCCAGCGACTGAAACAAATAATTGAGATATTCTTATTTTTTCTGATACTTTTACTTCTGTGTTTGACTGGACTTACTGTAAAACACTGTTGATGTGTTTGGTGTCTGAAATCAATTAGTTAAAATGTACATTTGGCGACATGGATATGATTATGACTACATTTTGACAACATCGTTCTTGATAAGCTGCTTGTGGAACTTACTGGCGACCATTTATCAGATGATACATCTTAACATATCACTGAACAAAAATTGTCTCAAATATGATCCTTTGCTTGACATCCACTGTCATCTTGAAGGATCTGTGGAAATGTATCCTTCTGTGCAAGGATCGTTGTGCATGGTTTTAATAGACGTGACAATTAGCTCACCATTTACCGAACGGACCTGAAATCCAGACTGGTAGCGGAAATATTTAGACATGAAAGATAAATTCATTCGGAATGAAGGATAGCGATGTTTTCCTTGCTGAGTATAATATATAGTGTTGATCGTTTAGTTACTGATTAAGGCTACTGTTCCTGCGTTAACTGAATTTACTTCGGTTAAGGTAGTCGCCAAGAGTGTCGTTTTTGTTTGAAGTAATTTATTACATGTGATTTTTGAGTACAGATACAAAAAGGTAGTGGTATTTTCCCTCGTTGAGTATATCTGTTAGTACTGTTTGTATCCAAAGATGTTAAGGTATTTGTATATCTATTTGTCTGACTTTTTGTTTATTGTTGTCAGTCACAGTAACATGCAAACCTCTATTTTTTGTGCTCAGTGTTTGCCATCTATAAAGCCTTAAGAGAACCTTATTCTGGAAATATGTTTTGTCCTTTATCTCTTTGCGAGATTTTATGACAGCAGAATATGGTTGTGGCAGATCTTCATGCTATTTCCCGGTCGATTATGGATTGCAGTATGAAAACTCCTATAAGTGGCATTACATTGTGTGCACCGGGCAGACACCGGTTGTGTATAAAAGGGACTGCAAGCCATTTTCACGTTAGCCATGCAAAACATGTTGCTCTTCAAAGTCTCTGCTAATTCTTATCCTAAAAGCTAAACGCTTTGATGTAATAAAACTTGAGTTTTATTTTAACGTTCAAGTCGGAAGACTGAACCAAACTGAAGGGCAATTAGATGAATATGACAGCGTTGTGTCTCAGTGAATAGATAATTGCGACCATTTACCTCTATAATGCTCGGACAACCGTCTGTTTCTAACAGACACCAACTTTGAACGTAAGGGGAAATATCATCTGACGTAGCGACCTTCACAACCGACTCATCGATGGACCTTAATTGATCACATCGTCGTTAGCCATCGTAGTAGGCGCTCAACAGAACACTGTAGCTCATTCTGAAACACACGTCTGGACTCGGATCACGCTCTAATTTCAGCGTGAATTTGTCTGCGTCTTACCAGATATAGAAAAGTCGCAGCACGGAAACTTGATGGTGAATAGGTTAAAAATATTTTTTAGGAACGCCTAGTGAAGTAGTTACTCAACCACTAAAGTGATATCCAATCCTAGGTATCTTTCTATGACATCCAGAAAGCTGTGGAAACAGCAGTGACATCTACCAATTACTTAGACAAAGGGGTTAGGATGAACTAGTGGATTCCAGAGGTGTCTACTGAACCGATAGATGGTCGGGAACTCATCCTATCTGGCTCCGAATACGATGACTGAATGGAGGCAGCTTAAACGTAGGCCAATAAAAAAGTCCTCTTATTGTGGTCTGCGTGATAATCATAACCGGTTGCTAAAGACTGAATGACATGGCTCAAAATTGTTTACATTGATACAGTTGCATTAATTTTTTGTGTTCCTCCAAATACTGAACTTCTGATTTAGTGATATTTTTTTTCTTTCACTGATTTATATTTTCTCGAATTGTATCTTTGATACCTGATGTTTTCTATCACCACTCGAACTGTTAATACTCCTACTATTCCGGGATTTGACCTGACAATTTGCGATAATTAAAAGCCTTCAGACTATTCTATGAACTAGGAATCCACGAGATAATGCAGTTTAATTCAGGTCGAACTATGTGGGCACAAACGAACGTATTGTATTTGGACCTCCAAACCAGGTGCACATCGAGTACAAAAGAATCACTAGTTCATATGAACACCACAAAATTTCACCTCTCTGTGCTAGTGGGGTATGGTGATGTGAACCGGTGGATATACGTACAAAGTTCTACGTTGCGACTTACTGACTGACATTACAGTTTGTTCCTCAATTGTCTGATATGCATATTGTCGGAGACGATTTATAATGACTTAGTTATAAGTAAAGTGACTAAGTGGGTTACCAAATGGATCGATAGTTTTCCACAGCCAGTGATACATGAGATTTAAGGTTTTCACACAAGTGGTGGACAGGAAAGCTTCTTCCGAAAATACGTATATATTTCTTTTCAATTTCAACAAACTTTGGTTTGGAAAAGATCAGCCGAAAAAATATTGTGAATGTATGTTCATAAGTAATTTAATTTTACGAAATCAGTTCTCGCTGTACATTGGTCAACATTTCATTTACAGGTGAAAAAGTCTATCGCGTTCATTCAAATCCAGAAGCTATCATGCGAGAGCTAATGCAAAATGGACCAGTTGAAGTAGATTTTGAAGTGTATGCCGATTTCCCAAATTACAAATCAGGTGTTTACCAACACGTTAGTGGAGCCCTACTTGGTGGACATGCAGTGCGTTTACTTGGTTGGGGTGAAGAGAATAATGTACCCTACTGGTTAATTGCTAATTCATGGAATAGTGATTGGGGGGATAATGGTTATTTTAAAATAGTTCGTGGTAAAAATGAATGTGGGATTGAAAATGATGTCAATGCTGGAATACCGAAAACAAAATACTAGAGATTTTGGTAAAATATTTTTATTTGTATATCTGCATGTCTGCAAGTAAATTGGCTTCTGTAATTCATTATTATCATCATCATGAATACAATATTTACTTGGAAACTGAGGAAAACATGAATAATAATTAAAACTGGACAATCTCCCCAGTATTTTATTTAAAAATGTAGTAGCCATTTCGAATATTAAGTATTTTTTCTCAATATTTCAAATATTATTTATAAATATACCCCTAAACACAAAGAAGACTTTTAGTCGTTGCATTTAATATATAAATCTAAATAAAATAGCAATTATATATATATATATCGGGGTCGTATTTTATATGTTTGATAACAGCCTAAGCCGTAGAATTCTGAATGGTTTAATGTTGTTGAAGATGGCTAGATTCTCTTGAAGCGAGCTCTTCTATACATTCAACCAATTAGATCCAGTCTAAAGAGTGAATCGATATTCTCGTAAATATCCTTTCTAAAATGCTGTTGCTAATGGTTCTTTCTATATTTTGCTGCAGAACAAAGTTTCACTGACAGGTGCTTCTACCAACCATAGTCTTTTTAAACCAATAACAATTTAATTAGAGTGAGAGCCCCTAAGGTACCATAGTCGTTTGTGATTTTTACGGACTTTTGATTATTTAGTATTCTGTCTCGGCCAAAAATGGTTGCATGGTCTCATTAGTGATTATTTTTTGAGACAGAAGTGATTTCAGAGCATTTCTGGCTAACATTATGACATATTTCCATATTTTACCTCAGTGACTCGTTCCAGGTGGGTTAAAGTGCCATCCTCATCCTCTACCGTTAAGATCACTCTATACCTCATTTTGGTTCCGATATCTAATAATGTTTCAGACAATCTTCCGCTCCTCTATTATTCAAGCCGTTATTGCGAAATATTTGTCTTTGGTTTCCCGTTTCTGTGAAAAACCATGATAGTTCACATCAAAATGAGTCCGTACTAAAAGCATGAGTCATTTTTGTATAAATGCCTTTGATGTGAAAAAAAATTAACAATTACTTTAAGGTAGTTTAAAGTAATATATACCAACCAGGCAAAAAGGCAGTACATGAACTTCTTGACAGCATTTCTGTTATGACTCCCTTATTCAGGAACATCGCGCAAAGTATAGTTTTTGATATAGATAGCTTTATTTTAAAACCATATGAATAGCAGAATGGCCCTTAATAATTCAGAACACCTCGCAAAGACCATTAGACTATTGTGTTATTCTGACATGCCCATCCCGTAGGTGATGTTGCATCACAATTAACTGTGCACCAAAGTGTTTATAGAGGAGTACAAATAACCGTTGGTTTCCGAAGGACAGATATTATAAATGCTGATGCTCATCTATGTGACTGACCTAGTTTAAAATTAAGTGATTAAGATTCCTCATCGAAGCATGACATACCAGATTTTACATAACAGTTTTCCAACTATTTTTTCTGTGTCTTACTGCTACTTATGACCACCTTCACCGAGTCTTGACTGTACAGTATTCTAACGCTTATTTCAGGATAGCAACGAAGAACTTTGAACTAATCTAATCATTTCTCCCATGGCATTATTAGTACTTTCACTTTACAAAATGCCTGAGATCGATTACTTTCTATTCTGCTTACTTATGAAATTATCAATGAGCCATCTGTACAATAAAAGTGCTTTTACGAATTTGGAACATGATTTACATGTAATACTTGAAAAATTCCTATATTGTAGTTTTGAACAACATATATAAGTGAACAATATGGTTTTCGATTAGATCTTCATCAGGCTTTACTTGAATATACATGAATATGTAGATGCAGATCTGAAATCATTAAACGGATCAAGACAGTTTATAAGACAATGATAACAGTGGAATAGGTAACATAAATAAGCATAAAAAGTAAAAAGTAAAAATTGATAGTGTGATGTCAGGTGTACTAGTTGTGGTAAAAATAATAAAGGCTTGTATCAATGTTTCATAACAGGGAGTAGGTCGATGACTTGGAAAATAGACACTGAAATAACATTCATTAAAAGTTATAACATTATGCAATGAGGGATGTTCAGGTAAATGGACATTGAGGTTTACATTTGAGAAAAGGAAAGGGCAGGAGGGATGAAGAAAAATAATCGAAGAATGTGGAAAATAATAATAGATAAAATCTCTTAATAAGACCATGAGAGAGATAAAGGTGTTGCAAATTTCTTATGAACACAAAAACTTGGAATGTTAGCCCGAATTCCTGTAGATTCTGTTTTGTGTAAGAGACGAGATCGAACCCCGTAAAGAAAACTAATGGGGATACGATAAATAACATCTGTTTCTGTCTATTACATAACCGCTGTCGATCACTTGTGATAGAACCGAGATGCATATTTTCTTGGTAGTACCTTTTCTTAACTACAAAGGGAGGTGTTCACTGACTCATTGGTTCAGTTGTTTGGTGGACCCCATCAGGGAAATAGATAACAAGCATACCGATGTAGGCATTGTCACAAGGAAAAAGAAAAAGCAGGATGAGAATAAACTAGTTATGAATAGTACCAAGGTATGTGAATCTACGGTCTCAGTTCCGGATTCCCATATCAACGCAAAACAGACTATGGTGGGGCATACTCTGAGGGGTATATAGGATAATGATTGGCCTACAGTCACATCCAAAAAGTTGACCTCTTCTTTTGAGGCCAAACCGGAATTGGATTGAAAGGAGGAGAAGATTTCAAAAATTAAAATTCTGTAGACTGTTAAAACGGACCTCGCTGATAGGTCAGTCATTTTTCATAAATTGAGAAAAATCTTCCGAAAATGAACCAAAAGTTAGATTTGAACACAATCTCAGCCACATTAAATTTTTAATATACAAGCTACTTCCAGAAACAGTTTCAGGAGTTAGCATCTGTAAGCTTTATAGAATAGGACAATTGGTGGATTCTGAAAGTACTCAGAAAAACAGTCTCTTGAAGGTTACCTTTAGTTTGGCTGAAGTAAGAAACCTGATATTCAGAAACTCATGCAAACTGATTAGATCCGGAATGTACGTCCATGAGAATGTCGGCCTGGTTGATCGTATTGAGAGACGATCGGAAGAAGTATGCTATACAAATGCTCGTAGCCTACCAAATAAAATGGCGAAGCTCAAGACAGTGGTGGATATAAAAAAACCGGATCTGATTGCTGTCTCAGAAACATGGTTACCGTCAGAAGTGGTTGGTGACTGTTTTTTATCCAATAGGGCTGATAGATTGAACCGTAGGGGAGGCGTGGTTATCCTTTACACTCAAAGTACCTTAACCATACGACCTGTTGAAACAGTGGCACATGATTCAGGGAAATGTGAGCTGGTGTGTTGCAGGCTGAAATGTAGACGGCGAGATATTGAATTAGTTGCAGTATATCACAGTCCAGAATGTGTAGAGGACGATCAGAAAAAAGCAGGGGCTATGGCAAACTATTTTGGAGCAATTTTCACTCAGGAACATCTCATAGATGAAGAACTAGATCCTAATACAGAGTCAACAAACCATCTGCTCACCATGATCACTTAAGTCTCTTAGCACCGTAGGCAAGCGAAAGTCAACAGGACCGGATGAACCACATCCCAAAATCCTAAGACATATTGCAACTCCACTGACTGTGATATTCTATATGTCACCTGACCAAAGTGTGTCACCTATGGACTGAAAGGATGCAATCGTCACTCCCACACATAAAACAAGACCAAGGCGACTTTCATCGAACTACAGACCTGTCAGCCTCACGAATGTTGTAGTTAAAATATTGGAAAGAATAGTCAGAAAGACTATAACGACATTTGTGGAAGTCAACAACATGTTAAACAGCGAATAACATGGTTTCAGAAAACGTTTATCTTGCACAACAAACCTCCTTATAGCAAGGGAGCATTGGGTGAAGGTGCTAGACAAAGGCAAATAAGCGGATGTTGTCTACATAAACTTCAGTGAGTCGTTTGACAAGGTGCCAACAAATAGACTTCTATTGATGTTAAAAAATCTTGGTATTGCCGGACCTCTCTTATAATGGCGTGAGGATTTCCTAGTAGGTCGCAGATAGAAAGTAAGAATAAATCCCAAGTTCTCTACCTGGAGACCAGTACTTGGTGGAGTAACTCAAAGTTCTGTCCTAGGTCCTAGGTATATAAACGATTTGTTAATTGCGAGTCCCGATTTAAAACCACACGAACAGCATGTGAGAGGAGTGCTAAAACGGCTGGATGAAAATTGAATGAACTCAAAGTTCTGTCCCAGGTCCTTTACTTTTTATACCGTATTTAAATGATCTCTCAAGTATAGTACAGTCTCCAATGTTATTATACGCTGACGATGTAAAAGTCTGGCGAGAAACAACGGGAGACGCAGATGCATGCCCACTTAGGGCAGACTTAAATAATGTGACTAATTGGTCTGGAGAATGGCTGATGCCTATCAATGCGGAAAAGTGTGTCTACATACACTTTGGGGATGCAGATCTCAATAGGTATGTAGAATTATGGTCTACTATGATATTAGTATTGCTCTAATAATAGACCTAATCCTAAATTTGTAGATTTGTCATGATATAACTGCCTAATCTATAAGATCTTACGTGGAAGTCACACCATCGACTACACCAACTCACTGTATCGCATCAATTACCAATACATGATGTAGAACAAGGTTAGGCTAGAGAAAGAACAATATATTTAATATGAATAGAAGATATAAGGTAACATTCCGCAGAGACCACGCCTGCATGGCCGAGACATGCCACTAGATCGACTCCAGTCCATTCAATTCATTGTTCGCGCCTTCTCCATTGTTAGGTATTTCCCCGAGTTAAATATTGAATATCTATTTTCTGAGTAGTCTCGTGTTCACAGCTTTGTGGATTGTGTGGCTATTGTCCAATGCCACTACAGGTACGCCATAGGGAAGTGCCTGTACCCGTCGTTCTGTCTCATAAGGATTTTGGGGTGACAGTGAGTCATGATCTTAAGACCAATACCCATTGCCGGAGGTCGCAGCTAAGGGGTTTAGAATCCTCTGGGTCTTAAGACGGACATTCACTAATTTAGCTACGACCATGTTCACTACAGTATACACAACCTTAGTGAGGACCCAGCTTGAGAATTGCGTCAAGGCTGCAAGCCCCTGTTTAAAAGGTGACTCGGATATCCTGGAAAAAGTACAGAGGGTAGCTACCCATGCAATTCCATAACTCCGGGAGTTGCCATATAAAGAGCGGCTTGAAAAGCTAACCTTCCTTGCTCTGTCTTATCGTGGATCAAGTGGTGTTCTGATTTTGAATTATAAAACACTGGGAAATGATATAGGACCTAATATATCCTCCTTTTTCCTCCTACCAGACCAGGACATCTCAGAGGATTAGAAAGGCCAACAACGAAAAAACACCCGTGGCATACATAACGAGTCATCAATTCTTGGAACCTTCAATTGACTCTTTCAAGAGAAGACTAAACATTCACAAAAGCATACTAGAAAAGGGTTAACATAAACTGTAGGACTTTTGTCCTTGTATACTGTGCAAATAATTATTAATCTCAGAAGTCCTGTTACCTTATGTACTAATACAGAAGCTTCTTTCAGTCAAGCCTCAAAATTGTCTTAAGTGGCGAATCGTCATGATAACAATACCATTGAAGATTCATTCTATATTATGCATCATTACTATGACATCACTTTCATTGCTTACAGGACGGAGGGTGAAATCAAATCAAATTTTAAATTGTCTTGATTTGACCGTTTCTGGAAAAATTTACAAATTGTTGGGTTGGCGCGCCAATCGTTTTAAGACAGTTTGACCTTCAAGTGCTCAGCAATCTCCACCAATGAATGATTCCACCGAGTCGTTGCCTAGTTTTCTTGATCAGTTGACCATCTGATCCTAGTCTTGAACTCAAGATTCCATAAATCTGACGCTTGTGTTATTACTGATTATTTTATGTTGATTTGCTTAATAAATGTAAGTGCATTATGTGAATTTTCTAGGTCGTCGACTCACCTTATGTTCTCTGTTTCAGCCCTCCCCATTTAGTCTTCATGCTACCCTAGTACATGAAGTACCTTCTGGCTAGACGACAACCGCTACAATCTTAACCTTATGGCTTTATCGTTTGACGACAAACTTCTTGGCGAAAAGGTCCATAATTACTGTAGCAGCAGTGAAGGCGAAGAGGACAGTGGCGAGAGTGGGAAGGAAAGTAACCCTTCTACTGTTGTTCCGAAAAGTTTAAACCCCCAAAATATATCCTATCTTGGCTCTCCACAGGTTAGGAATATTCTGAAATGTAATGTAGTTTTAGACTGGACCAAAGGGTGTAGTTGCTGATTATAAACGTTTTAAAAGACTGGAAAGTGAACGGAACGCTGAGAAAGAACGAAAACTTGTCGAATATACCAAACAGCATTCCGTTAGTTGCAGACCTTATGTATGTGGTTATAATTATTTTTTATTTTTAAGAGTAAAGATGAAAAGGAAGATGAACATACCCATTCGACCTTAAACGCTTCAGATGATAGCGACGATGACTTTTTGACTCAATATCGACAGAACAGAATAAATGAACTAAGAAAAGCCAACGAAAGTTTGTAAGCCTTTCTGTGTAAAAAACGTATAACTTTCAAGACCCACTTTCAACAAGATCTACGATCTGGTAGCGGATACATTTATTGAGGAGATAGATAACACAAACAAGAACACGACTGTTATTGTTTTTATATATGAAAATGTAAGTAACGTTTTGTATACGTTTTAAATACAAAGGGCAATAAATCATGTGCAAAAGTCAACACTTGTCTCGAAAAAATATATCACGGTTATCCTCATGTGAAGTTTTGTAGAATCCGAGCTTCTGAGGCTCATCTCAGTTACCGATTCGTAAGTTCTGTCTGTGGAGTTTATTTTCATATCTCATAACTGCGTGTAATATATTTCGTATTTTCCCAGTTTTCTCCATATGGTTTGATCTACATACAGTTCGTTTTGTAAAGTGATCTCGTCTTTTGATTTCTTTTTCGCGGATTATGTGGCCATCTAACCACTCTTTTAACTGGAACGTTTGACCTTTAGTTTCGAAACACCGAACATCGTTCTATTCTTGAAAATGAAAGCCCTCTTGTCATGAGACCAAGCAGTGAAGTAGTTATGGATCCATGACTAGATAGTAGGTTATTATTGCAATTATACAAGATGATGTATAAAGCCATATCCAGAGCATTGTTATCACAAACAGCTCGATGTTTGTAGATTAATGCTTTTGGTGGAGTTTTGTTCTCTGACCTGGACTTCAGGTAGAAATTTGTGTTGATGGTTTCGTCCAGAAGAACGATGAGAGCTCCACAACCAAACTATTCAACTCAGAGGACAAAACTCCATCTGAGCTACAAATCCCCACCAGACTAATGTTTGCACAATTGTAGTGTCGCTGATTTGCCTGATGAACCGTGCATCCTACATATTGCTTCAAGGTCAGACGGATTCTGTGTTACATAAACATATAGTAAGTGGGAAATGCAAATGTGGGCACCTTGTTTCCAAATCTGGACCGCTTACCCATACATAAAGGTGATTTCTGTGGACACATTCAACTTTTCAATGGTTTCTCAAGCGTTTTGGTCTCCTGACGGATAGTGTCCTAGTCATGTATTTGATAATGTGAATTAATCATACTCCACTACATGTTATTGCATAAAGCCCTTTTCATATTTGAAAGCTAGGTTTTTACAGCATGGAAATCTAAATAATAGACAGCTCTTTTTGTCTTGAATTATGGTTACTAAATTATGCTGACGAGTGTATCATAGAAAAGTGGCGTGATCTTAATTTTCTCAAATAATATCAAGTTTGACAAAGAATATCCCTGTTTGTCAAAAGGCTAGAAGTTTCTTACTCGATGGATAATGCGAATCATGTTGTAGTCGTAACTGGTTGTTATTTATACGTTGTATTTCTTAGTGTTTGACTTAATGGACGTTTCACTTGTTTAGTCCTTGTAATATGTGCATTCTTTAATAGTCTCACCGTGGTGTTCCTGCTATTGTGGTCTACAAAAATGGAGAGCTGATAGGGAATCTACTTTCCATTACTAAGGATCTTGATCTGGAGTTCTATCCAAACGATCTGGAGAATTACTTAGTTGAGTGAGTTATATGGTAGTCTTTTGTGTATTTTAATTGTACCCAAGCAATCAATAAAGGGAAAATAATGGGGTAACGCGCCTAAATGTCTGCTTCGCCTGTCAGGGGATTTTGCTCTGTTTTACATGTCGCTGAATTGTCTAATTTTCGTTTAAATACACGCCAAATTGTCTACTTTTCGCCTAAATACAATCCGATTCATCTACTTTCGCTCCAATTTTTGGCACACCTTTGGTCTAGCTTCAAATGTCTCGTATGTTCGCCTTTATTTCCATAGCAAACCACACAACTGCAATCGACATTAAGAATGGTACATGTTTAAAGAAATTTATTAAAAAGAAAAAAACGTCATATTGTACATTATGAATAGTTGACATGCTAGAGCATCGATCGTTATGTATTTTGATTGTAATTGCCAAGTTTTGAAAAGATCTACAAAAGAAAGAACATGTTATGGGTTATTAATTAGGCACATGTACTTAATTACAAGTGCATTTAAAATCAGACAGGCTTTCTCAACACTCACTCAAAGAGCTTTACATGCAATTTGGAAAACAAGCCCATGTTTAAGAAAATGTTTCTTGAAAATGAAGTTGAATATATTACACTGGTAATGCCTTTTTTAAACTCCTGTTGAATTATTGAGAAGCGAAGTAATCTTCTTGTGAATTCTGAAATTTAATAAGCACAAAAAAATTACAACGATATCTAACTGCTATTGTTTTTTAAGCAACTACCTATGTGAATTTCTACTTACGGTTATGTTCGTTAATACTGAACATCTCACCTACAAAACAGCGGTGAATAGTTATAAGTTTAAATTAGTACGTACATATTCTTGTTTTCTTTTATTACGCTTTTGCATTTTGTCTAATATCATGAAAATATCCTTGCGTCGCGATGTCATGCAGTTTTGCAAGGTCTTTTCGTTCACCGATGAAGACAGGAACTGATCTGTTAATGCGCCTGGAAGTTAAAAGATTTCTTACTTCGTATGCAACCATAAAACCTGCATTTTTGACGTGCTCTTTCCGATGAAGTGCCAAGTATTGTGAAATGGCTGGCAACTTCAGGTGTCATGACGTATGACAAATTATAGCGCATAGACGTTCTAGGGTTATCATTCATTAACCACATCAGCATGGCCATCTGTAATACGAACAAATGATCCTGTTAATTTTGTTGGCTTACAAACTTGTCCCTTATATTTTCTTGCTGAAGACATGCGTCTAACATTCCCAGTCCCTCTTCAGATGACAAAGGGAACTGCTGGCTTAATAGTCCGCAATCGGATTGCCGCGGATGTTCACACCCACCAGACTTCGGCAGTAACTGCCTAATGTTGGCACTCAAGTCTGAAACGATTGACAATATGTTCTGCAGTACAGCATACAGTTTATCAAATTTTATAAACTTAACTCAGTGGGACACGTGACTTACTCGACCGCTAACGCACTGCCCACGCGGACGTTAAGGGCGATGTGTCCAATTATGTCCAACTAGTTAATTAACATCTTCAAGGTAAACACGCCTACTTAGAGATTGGCGAGATAATGGTGTCCAGCAACCGATATTGGACGTGGCTGTTTCTAGCCTGCATCTGGGCCACATCCATGTCAACGGAATTGTAAAGAAACCCTTTTTCCGTTTCAATACACCTCTACGAAATGTTAATAAGGTTACTGTACTAACCTCTTCGGCTTCTCATTGGTAGTTGCAGGGTGTTTTCGTCCGTAGAAATGTTGATACGGTAAACATCTAATTTGTTGAAGGAAACCAACAACTCCTTTGCATTCTGGAGACTATCTATAGATAATGATCGTTTCTATGTTTGTAACTCACCGCATTCGTGAATGACCTTACACTTCAGGACTGATCAATTGTCCGTTGGATAGAGACAAAGTTCTTTCTCCACAAACCACTGTTTAGCTGCAATCATAAGCTGCCTCTTGCTCGGTGCATCTAAAATTATGTATTGTTTGTTGGCCGGCTAATGGGACATTAGAGGTAAGGAAATGGTTTATGGTAATATCATCAGCAAGGTTGAAACAATACATTTACATAAACGTATATAGCAATGGAACAATCGTCATTTCATTTTATGGAACAATCTCTGAATAATTAACACAATTAAGGGCAATACATTTACAGTCAGTATATTCAATTGAAACCATGTGTGCTCATGACTAACTATCAAGCACATAAATATTCCTGTCGTTATAATGGAAGGGTTCTTCGAAGTAATTGCGTAGGTCTGCGAATGACCTAATTTTCATCAATCCATTCTCCCCTTCATCAGTTACCAGACCAGGCTTCCCGTGTACTAGTACCACATTATCTGGCTTAAATAAAGTTATTTTAGTATTCTTAAGCATAATTACTTGTTTCCGTGAGTCTACCCTATCGGTTATCTGTGCACTATAAGTTGAACTGCTAGCTTGGAGCCTACCACAAAAAGATATCTCCGCATAACGCTGAGCTACTTGCTTGGCTACAGCATACCCGCTATGCACTGATTTCTTAATTTGCCTCATATATGACTCGAATGGGAATGCTGAAAACAATCTAAAGGTCCATATGCACGAACATCGTCGCGAAGGTGCTGCAACAAATGCACATTGTAAACTAAGTTTTTGAACTCATAACACCATTCATATTTCTTACGAAAGTTCAGTAAACCCATTCTGACGGAATTTGTAGCGCTATTACGTAATCTTGGATGTGCTAACAAATAAATCGATAAATCTAAACGCCTGAAATTAGGGTACAAGGGTTGCGGTAAACTTTGTTGAAGAATTACGGGGCCTAAATATAGAAGAAACAGTCGGTACTCCGTAGCTTTCCATACTGAGATGAAGTCTAATGTGCGGTGTTTACGCTGAAAGTCGGAGGGAGTACTTGCCACGCAACTAGATATTAACTTATTTATATCCCTAAATCCATGTATGTTCATTTTTCTTAGTCGTTTGTGAAAAAATTCCATCCATAGATTGACTAGTTTCTTCGTCACACCTAAGTATTAGTGATAATGAACATAAAAATAGATAGCACGCCACTCACTTGCATCTCGTAAGTTATTTGTGATGACCACCAAATATGTCGGGACACTAGTTAAACAACAAAGTTTGGATATATGCATGTAAGGAAAATCCTTGTCTACAAATTTCCCCCAAATATACTATGTAAGGGGGGAAAAATCTACATTTACCCTTTATTGGTTGCTTCGGTAATTAATAGTGACACGCCGAATTTACAGAAAATCCTTTTTCTCGTTCTCCAAGTTGTTACGTTCAGGCGTTGACTTTATGCAACCACTAAAATTGTCAAACTTGTAACGTGTGCATTCCCACGTGGTTTTTGTTGAGGATTTATAAATCATGGCTAGCTGTCAATATTCAGAGGTCGATTTTAATGAATACAGTATACTTGTATTGGAGATTTACTATTATATATATTTTTTAAGAGTTTAGTATTTTACCATTTCATGGTTTTCGAAAGATTATATGCCAACCGTCTGTATAATTCCAAATAAATGTTTTATATTTTAAGTGGTCAGTTTAACCTACTTTTTGTTAATATTACTAAATTACAGTTTGAAGGATTTGCTAGGGTAAGCTGTTGAAATTCATGTTCACTTTTAATCACTTGGAAAATATGAGAACGAGTAAAATGTAGTAAAGATTCATGGATATAAGAATATTTCTTCAAACACTGTTCGTCGTTCTATAATTTCAGTACTGTAACATCCATATGTATCTTTTCTCTTTAATCCGAAACTTCTGTAGGTATGGATTTCTGCCTGATAAAACGGTTGTTCAGTCTACTTCAGTGATAAATTCGTGTTCTCATCTTTGTAAAAAAAATTAAATCCTTTATTTTGTGTGCATTGAATATAAATTCAAAAGTATTTTGACTCAATTATATACATCTTCCCTTCTAAGTACATAATTGTTCCTTTTATGTGACCCTACGCAATTAATGTTTTTATGTTACTTAAAAATATTAAACCTTGTAATGATTGTTATATCTTAAAATCGGTAGTTTTCTTAAGAACTGTTTCTTTTTAACATATTAGAATATGTTGCTTATGAGAGTAGAAATATTAAGATGTGAGAGTTTTCATTTTATCTTTGATTAATTTCACTGAATTAACGCTATTAAATTCACTTCTGTTTCACTAGTATTGATCATCTTGAATTTGGAGTTGGATTCATATATATGACGCATAAAAAGGATAATGAAACTCCATTTATGTATAAAAACAACGATATTGTACCAGATGCATAAAGATCCACGGGGATCAATCTTGATATATCAAAATAATGTCATGGCATTAGTTTTTACATCATATTGCATTTTCATTACATTAATCGTATATACTTATTTCATGTCAGCCACCTAAAATGTTGATTAGACCACTTACCAATAATAACCGACTGGTCTGAATACGTCTACCAAATAAGCAACAGCTCTAATTTATCGCATAGAAATTTATTTGTGCAACTCAGCGTGCACGGATTTATACAAGGGGTTTGTAACCAAATTAAGAATGATGGCTAGTGATGCAACCTGGTTCCCTAGACAGAAGTGAAGCAATGTTTGAACTCATGGTTCAGTGGTTAAAAACCAGTTACTGTAATCACTAAGCCATTACTACTTAAGTTTTAAGATGGTCAGAAGTTGTATACTACACTAGCCAGTTATCAAACTATTTAAACGGAGTCAACATTGACAATCCCGTACTACAGGAATCCTTGTTTTACAGAAACATACACAAAAACCAACATGCTGATTGGCACTTGGATAATTATTTTGTATGTCCCAATGACTAGAATTATTGGGAAATGGTGTTCCTGAGAGATACAGTATAATGTCATAATAGATTTTAGAAGTTACGCAATTAATAGCTCTTCGATCTGAAGACTTGTTTGTTATTAGAGTGCCGTGTAAAAATGATTCGGCTGTCGTGATATGCGAAAATCTAGACATCTAGTTATTGATATAAACTAGTCTGTACAGGTTGAGCTAAATAACCAAGAGGGGAAGGTACTAGTTATTATTATTGGTAGCTTTATTCAATATTATATTTTTGGTGCAATCAGGAATTCCCAGCACAAAGCATTCCAACAAGATCCTTTTACAAAACAAAACAAAAACCAATGACTGAATACATAGATAAAGTAAATAAGCTAACTCAAATTACTGATGACTTACAACAACGTATCACTTGAACGCGTAAACATATTTTTGATTATCTAACAGACTCAATCAAATTTTGAACGTTATAGTAGCTATGCGTAAACTTTGTGATGCAATATTAGCATGTGTTCGTACAATATAGTACCATGAAGAAAAAACAAGTTCTATAAATAATCACGGTTGAACTGCTATTTATAGACTAACAGAAAATTTCCTACTTTTTAGTTCTTAGTACTGGTGTCTCTGACTACAATACATGGGAAGTATCAGTTCCTTCAGAATTCTGAGTAAGTATTCTTGATGATTGTCAACAAGCACAGGGCTTCGTAACTCCAATCACCTAACATTAAAGTGCAACCACTTTAACTGATTTGACACGGAAACACATTTGTTTTACGAGTTAATGTTCCCCAAAGGTAGGGTTTTTATCAAGGGGATCTCAATATTAATCTGAGTGGTATCTTGAGTGAAGCTTCAAATAAAAAGTATACTGTAGTGTCAACAAAATGAACTCGTTGTATACCCGTGGTGTATTCTTAACTAGCCCAGTTGGATAAATTGATAGCATTTCATTAACCAGATGACTAGAGCATTAAAGTATGTGTGCTATCAGGTCACGACACACTCCAAGCAGGAAATTCTAGTCCACATACAATCAAGCCATAAATAGCTGGAGACGGAACACAAGGTGGATTAGCAATAATCAAGGGATAGTAAGACGTCAAACAGTAATTATTAAGTTCAACTGAAGCTTACAACGAGAAATGTAGGAAGACAATAATCCGGATGCTTAGTAATTAGGCAATAGGTGAAGTGATAATACATAAAATATTTCGTAGTTACAACTTCCCTAGTATTCTCTCCGTTATGTTAGTATACATTCTAAGGTTTACGATAATGCTCTATAAATTAATCACATTAAATATAGTAACTTAAAAGTCAGGTCATGCATATATAAGCTTATAATCTTGTCTATAAGTTGGGGAAACAAGTAGTACAGTGGGCTATTATGAGGGTGCTGCATATTTTTATTTATAAAGGCTTCAAATTTAGCAATTCACCCCCGTTTTGATCTAACTTGAATATTATTCTTGAAGTAGTGATAGGAAGTACTGTAGTTTACACACAATAATCAGTAATCAAGTAGTATTTTGTCGATATCTCCCGTAACTGTGAAAAAGCCTTAAATACAATCAATGATAGAGCCTAAACTCATTTGCGGCTACATTGATACTTTTCTACACCAAGTAAAAAAACTTAGAATCATATAGAAGCCCCTTACTATGTCCAGAGTAGGAAAATTATCACCCATGGGACTGAAATCTCAAATATAAACCATCTTATCACGACCAAAAGTCAAAACCATGGTACTCGACACAAGACCTGGAGGTTTTAGGTGCAATTCTTCTGAAGAGTCTCATACTAGGACGAAACAGCTCCCTAGGGAACTCGTAGCTGTTGGTGGTCTTCCGGATGATATTAATCGATGACGAAGACCGTCTCCAAATTCATCAAGAAAAATATGTGGCGCTTCTCACTAATGAGGTTTGGCCATCGCATTATGTGTGCGGATGGACGAGAAAAACAGGATCGAAGATCATTCCAATAGAATAAAATCTTTTGTTGTTATATGTGTTTTTGTATACCTTGTTTCCCTCTTCATCCAGTGGATAAGAAAAAACACAGAGTAATTAGAGAATGCTCATTACAAAAAAAGCAGTCAATATGTTTGGAATTCGATAAATCAATAAATGGTAAGACAAAGAAAGTGACCCGAGAAAAAAAGTACAAGATAAGTCCATGGACAAAGAAATTACTAAATAAATCGATAAGTGAAAACCAAAACAAACTGTAAACAAATAGTCTAATTTATGGTGATTGAGAAATAACTATGTACATCTAAAAAAGAATTTCCTATCAGGGATCTGTCCACGAGTGATGAACAGACAAGTGCACTGACATGTACATTGTTATGAGTTAATGATCGGAAGAAAAAAGAACAGGAATACTTTGATTTCTGATTAAAATTATGAACACCATTAGTTTTTCTGTACTAAAGATTTAGCGATATTCACTCTCACATGGAAAACCAATTTTTCGATAGAAAGAATTCAGTCATTAAAATGGTTAATTGTCAAAAGGAGAAATGCCTGTATAATTTGCAGTATTCCATAAATATATGGTAAATCATATTTTCGGAATCGTTGATGAGTATTAAGCATTATGCATTGATCTTAGTTTCATTAACTCATTTGTCAAGGCCTCAATCTACAATAATAATCATTATAAAATCCATTAAGATATGTGATTTATGAAGATGTGTTTGTTAGTTGGGTTTTATCACGAATTGGCATCAATTAGATAAACAATGAAAGCGAGGGTTGACTACATAACTGCTTCCTCCAAGTAGTACGAACTCACACCCTAAATCAACATCCAGTATTATACATTCTGAATATTTGTTAATTTTCTATACAGCGAGACAATCACTCAAAGCCGCTCGTTCATGGAGGTTGTTAGATTTCAAGGAAGTTCATATCATCGACTGACTTCAACTAGAGATATATATACAAGCTTTTCAGCACATATACGTTATTAGTTTGAGCATTTTATTAACATCCTTACTAGGTGGGTACAGAATATATGTGTGTCCAATTAAATGGTATATAAAAATGTCAAATGCACTGATAAGAACAATCAAATTTCAACTATTGGGTTAGAAGTTCGTAACTTGACTTTGCTTAATTCAGCTTGGATCGAAAATTTATGGTTTGGAGCCAAATTGGTCAATACTTGGTTACTAACAAATGGTTAACTTTTGCATTTTCATGAGTAGTCTCATAGGGCAGGGGTTACGAAATTACAACAGAATTAGGTTGCAGGTTAAAATGGATTTCGATTTAACCATCTGAATGATAATTGTGACCCCTCAATTATAAGCTGTGGCGGCGTATAGTTTCATAAATTGCTCAGTGATCAAATATTAATTCATAAGCTACTCTAAAATTTAGTTCTGCTTTCGAACTACCATAATATATTTGGGGGCTGGCAGCAACACTCATAAGATCAGGACCGTTGTGCAATGCCATTACTGATTGAAATAATTGGCATAAATGTCTTTTGATGCTTGGTATACTGGAAAAAAAAATGATAGAAAACCCATGTACAACGAATAACTAATATATTTTCCAAGTGGCGAAGCAAATTCAACCAACACATATCTGTGCCGGATTCTATATGGCTTATAAGTGACTGATATTTTGAAAGTTGGGTTTTAATAGAGGAAAAGGTGTCTAATCCCTTCAATGTACTAATGATATCGTCAAATTTGTCCGTCAGACTGCTTTAGAAATGAACTGTTTATTCTGACATCAACCTTTCTTAAAAATGGATATGTTTAATTTAAAAAATTATGCGAGTTAGTTTACAAAACCCCATAGTTTTTAAGAAAATATCACTCATAAACCTTCAAATTTGGTATAGCTCTGAAGAAGCCAATCCGGTAAAACTCCATGCACCTAGTCTTTGCATAACATACTATAGCCATCAGCTTAAATGGGCCCCAAATGAAGTGTAAGTTGTTCTGAATAAATAATTCGATGTGCGTATGTTAGTTCACTTGTATTTACGGTCTGTTACTCATTGCGTCCTTTCCTTTACGACATTCGAGGGTAACCGTCATCATGGTTTATCAAAGGACAAAAAAGGTGAGTTTCGACTATTTTATACTTTTTTCATTTCAATGACTTTCCCACATCTATTATTCAACGTAAGAATTTAAGTCGTCTTATCGACGTTGCTATTGTTACTATCGTATTCGTCGATCAAACTTTCTTTTCAGTCAATAACTCCAGCTCCATAACGAACACTCCCACCAAAGTATCTACTTAATTTAGTTTTCCTTTTTACAAAATACAAGTTTCAGTCAAGTAAGTCAGCGAGCATTATACAAATATAAGCATGGAGCTAGATCTAAAAAATAGTCCATAAACTTAGAGTTAACTTTACCTTATCTTTCAATATTTTATTCTCGAATGCATATCGATTGATTAGGATATTATGAAAAGCACTGGGTATATTTACTGGAGAGTAGGAGGATAATAACTCATTGTCAATACTCTTTGCACGGTTGCGACAATGATTAACACATTCCTTATTATTTTGTTCCATATTCGACGTGCATTTTTCAAATCCAATTTGAAATACGCCATATTCTGTTAGTTCAATAATCAATCCCTGTTGCAGAAACAACTATTTGAATATAATGTAAAACATCAATAGGAATTACTAATACTGATATGAATTATTCTTATTTATTGGCCAAAATGTTGAAGAGTTTTAAGACTTTTATAGCCAGTGGGCTTTTCATACAATTCTAACAGCAGTCATGGATTTAATGGGAAATTTTCATTGAATGTAAAACGATGTGGGTTGAAAAGCTACCAAGTTCCAGCCACTGAGCGGTAATATGCCTTTTGATAACAAGGTTCGAACCTTAAATTGACTAAGGATGTGTATGTGTGTGCAGAGTGCTAAAAATCCTCAGATTAGAGGAAAAATAACTGTAAGATATTCTATGACTTTCACTTAATATCGGTTAGCAAAATGGCTTATCACTAATAATAATTATCACTGTAATTGCCTCATTGAAGTATTACATGTTTGGTTTTGTGATACGAACAAGTTGTCCGTAGATATGTAAGGAAAATCTTTCCATTTTATTAACTTAGGTTGTTTCTTCATAACGACTGAATAGGCAACTGAATCTCCTCTGTGTACTAATTGTAAATTAATTCTTCTTTTTCAAAAAATCATATAAGGAAGGATATATACGCGTCGAAATGGGTGAGAAGATAGCAAAAGACACTATATGTATATGCCTCAATACAATTATTTTGTATATCAATTAAATTAACAATTCAAACTGTTTAATCTGCTGCGAAAAATCATTTCACTAATGTCATAAGAATGGAGATGTCATAACTTATAAAACTAACTGGCACTTTGAATCAATCATATAGATACAATTAGTTGATCCCCGTTAATCTACTGGCAAAAAAGGCTAAGTAAAAAATCCTTTGCACAGAATATTGCAACAGATTTCTATTAAAGTCGGATGGTGGTCAACAGTGGAATTCAGGACGTATGTTCCGTCATATTTAGAACTCGTCAGATGGATGCACCTGGTTCCCAGTATCCATGTTATCATAACGGGTACAAACACATCCAGCTAACGAGTTCCAAATAGGACGAGTCATGAACTTTATGTCAATCATCGGAGTAATCCGCTCAAGATACAATAAGAGACTGGTTAATTCCAGTCCTTAACATCAATAATAGAAAGATACAAAACCTTTCAAATAATGAATGAAAGTATTTCTCGTTATTACATGCACTCTAGTTGTGACGATGTAGAACGATGTAATAAAGGAATTACTACAACAGGGATTATCTGCCATGTAAAAACATTTAACTCGGAAATTTTCCGATTCGTCTCCTTACTTTTAAAGCCTTTTTCCGTGTTAAATAAACTATTTGTAGTGCTTTACAATCACAAATTTCAATATGGCTGTATCTTATTTCTCCAAAAGATAGATAAGGAAGGAAATATACTGATCACTGAAGTGTAGCCACTTATGATATTCAATACCGTAACTGTTTTTAAGCATTTCACAAAAATAGTCAATGATGACTGGGAAATCTGTAAATGATACATTTTAAAGGATAACATTTACACACCTGTCTGAAGAGTTTTAATTGTTCTGGATTTTCATTGGCACCTGATTCCAGTTTCAGCGATAAATTTCCTTGTTTTAACAATAAACGAATTGAACATCTTGGAGGTGAATTAATTGGATCGTTATTATCATTATTATCCACACTAACTCCATGGATGCTACTACACAGAGAAGAATTTAATGGATTTATGTTTTCATGGCCGCCAATTTGATGCCATACGTGAATAAATAATTGTTGAATATTTGATGGAATAATGAGTCTCCAATTTTTTAATAAAGTAGCATTGGCATATAACCATGGATAAATATCACTAGTTGTAGGCTTTAGTTTTGTTAGTCCAACCGTTGGATCACCACCAAAACTTAGGAAAACTGACCATAAATAATCAGATTGTACAAATTTATTATGTTGTTTTTGGTCAGGTTCAGCACGAGATGAAGCGATGGAACAATGAAGTGATTCTTCTGGTTTCATAAATAATTGAAGTGATTTAAATACAATCCAAAAACGTGTTTCTAAATTCATAGCATCTAAAAAACATTAAAAAAGTAACTTATTTACCAAGTGTACATTTGTGTCCTTAACCCTAAGCCATATAATCTTTGTGAGGGATAGTGACACAAACTGATTATAATAGCTTGACGTCGATTAGGCAGGATTTGGATTGAGTACTTCAACTGTTGAGTCACTGATTCGCCTTTTTTATGATATAGCTTACATATTTATAGAATGATCACTTGGAAATAACTAAGGTTGCAACAGATTAAGGATTTCTGAGTTTGTAACCATTGATATTATGTACAACACGAGTTTAAGCTATCTCAATTTATATTTACTTACACACTTTAATCGAAGTCGTTAGTGAGCACTGAAAAGTAACCATATTGTTGTTGACAAATTTATCTGTGACTTGTGAAATAATGACTATATAATAAGAGATAGCTCTACATAAATCGACTGTCGAATAAAAATGCGGGAGAAAGCACTGTTAGTGATTGTCGTTCGAAACTTGACGAATTAACGAGTGCTACCAAGTAATTAGATACAAAATATTGGTTTGTGGATTAGAATACGACTACGAACTATTAAGGTTACATGTTTTAACCACACTCCATTTACTTTGGTATAGTTAGCCACGTAGTATCACAAACTCTACATATTAAAAATTGTGGCTCAAAACCGAGTGCACCAATGCATACATTAAGAAACTTTATTTGGTACTGAACGTTAATAAAAAAACAACGATAAAGTTTTGTCTAATATACTTCGAAAAGTCAATGACTGTTGAACTGAGTCATTTCAGGAGGTGTAGACTTTGTAGTTCGGGTCCTCGAGACACTTGTAATCTGTAGTGTCAGTCATTATTTTAAGCCCATATACCTTATTCTAAATTTTGGACAAACCAATCTATTCATTCTACTTGAGTCATATGTTGACCTTGTCAATTATTCGCTTGTCAGTCTTGATTGTTTTTATATGAGCGTATGTGTGTGCCCTTCTTATTCCATTAATCACATGTCTGTAGCTTTGTTCTGTCTGACTATAAATATTGAGTAACGCTTGACCAAAAGGGAGTTGGCATCTCAGCCATCTTCCCTGCGTGTCATTTTGCTCTGCTCTGTTTCATTCGCTTCATATACAAAATATGTGTATTCTCAAGTCAATTCTCGTTATTCGACTTATCTAAATTCCGTTATTGACTAACGCGATTTAAGTTGACGATGATATACGAGAATCAGCGATAGCAAACATCCATACGATTTAAACAGAAGTCAGATCCATGGGCCACCAAAATTGGTAAGCCCGCCGACGACGAACGCAACGCAGCAAGCTACGTCGATGAAGAGATTTCTGCACTTGATACATTCGACGAACACACTCAACGGGTCCAGCTCAATCTCTAATCCGATGCACTCAGCAAAGCCTGTGCAGCACGACATGGACATGCACAAATCTTATTATCTTATCCATACGATCTAAATAGGAGTCAGATCCATGGGCCACTAAAAATCTATGGTTGAAGGGTATGATTCGAAATCAGTCGTAGAAGTGCATATGAATTTGCTCTAAACCACCAGTTGTAATATTATTTCATAGTTATTAATGATTTATTTAATGTGACCACTTTGAACTATACTTCGTATATATAGTTCTTTATTACTACTAATATTATTTCGAATTTACTGATTTTGACATGGTTTCTTCGTACTGTGATAATTTGAAATGTGGTGATTAAAAATCTATGTCAAATCCTGCAATTTTTATAAGTGAATGACTTTGTTTAACTAAGATTTCATACGTAATGGTACTGACCCATAAGTTTACGCTGGCTGTGAAAACCTGAATTGATGTAAGTAATTGCAGTAGAGGAGACATTATCGTTGAACAATATAAAGTCAGATAAAAATAAGGACGATTTTGGGTTTATAGAAATCATCTTAGTGATGCATAGGATATACGTTCAACAATCCATTGCTTATAAATATTAAACATATGCTTCATCTGATAGTGATTATCATCGTTCTAAGGCAATATAATTTAATCAACAAGTATAATGATAATGTATTCACTTGTGAGCTCTACTTTATACGTGAAACCTACTGATATGACTAAACTACTTGGAACGAATCAAGAAAAGCAATCCCACTCCCACTTGAGTTGCTACAGTTGAACGCAAGAGGCTCCATCTAATGTCCTCCAGGAGGGAAAGGTGATACAGTGAGGCAATCAGATGTCCGTTAATGGGAGCTTTCTTCTCATTCAAGTAGTTGGTTGGGTTTGTAGAGGTTATTCGATAGTATCAGGATTTGAAAACCCATAATATATAAAGAATAGTTCTGTTATACCCTAGTGAAGATTAAATTACAGGTAACTTCCGAGGACTATTAATGGACTAACATTATATAAATATTCTTATGGTATAATTATTCAATAATTATATTTTGTATATTTATATTCCCCTTATAAGCTTCATTTTGACCCATACTTTATTATTATACCATTTACTGTCCCTAAATTATGTTCAGCTTATTAACTACTGATTTTCACGTTCACAGCCACTTTTTGGCTTTATTGTGTACAAATGCTATTTCCTATTTTATGGTGCGTTGCGGTCCGTTTGTTTGATATATAAACACGGTATGTTTGGAAAATATGATTCGCATATTGAAGCTGGTATTGGTGTTCTGGACTCAAGTGGATGGGCTAGGCGGACGTAGGACCAATAAGGACGCTAGACTGCTCATACCGGTCGAACGTCATTGGTTTCGGCACAGTGCTAAGACTGTATAAGTCGTATTTCGACTGGTGGATAAATCACGTGATAGAAAGCCGGACATAAAGTCATAACAAGTTCGGGCTCTTTATCTAGCTTCTATAAAACTTTCATTATATTGACTACAATTAAACGAAATCTTTATTAATATATCGTTCAGTTATTTTATTATTAATCAATTTTGTAGTTATGCTTACCCGCTTCAAATGAAAATCCAGCCAACTGTATGATTACACTCGATATATTTGACTTTTTCCATTGACGAAATCTATCATGATCAGTAATATTTTCCTCTGATTTTGGCTCTTGATACTGTTCCATTGCTGCTGTCAGACCAGTAGTAGTAGTAGTAGCTGCATCGGGAGTATTCGACGTATATGGTGCGAAGACATCTACGTCTAACAATTCTGAACCAATCTCATCTGGACTTAATAGAAATGATGAAGAGTTGAGCAGATGCTGATGATTAAGAGGTGGCCATAACATATCGTCAGTTTGATATGTACACGATGAATTCAAATTAGATAAAACTTCATATGGCTTAGTCCAATCATCCATCGAACTGGATGTACTTTGTAGATCAGATAAATCACTGGAAATAGAAAACTGTTGACTTATGTTATTTTTAGATGAATTGTTTGCCCAAACTCCATCCTAAAGTGAGTAGTTAAATTAAAAACAATAGCGTGTTACTACTGAAAAGAAATCTACAGTAATTATTTTTACTACTTATCCATGTTGTACGTAGTTAAAACACCATACAAGGACTTGACGGGACACTCAGATTCATCTGAGATAACCATGAGTTGATAGGTCCTCGTTTTGAATCTGTGTGAGAATGACGGAAGCTAAACAACTTGCATAAACTGTGAATTAGTATTTAACCGATGTGAAAGTAGATCAGCACAGCAAGAGCAAGGTTGATAATGCACTCTGATAACACTGTGTTATTGAAACAGAGTGATAATAATAAAGGTTTACTTCACTTATAGAAAGTCGACTGAATAAGATGTCCCAGGATAGATCAACATATATAGCTCCCCGTTCTAAAATGGCCTTGAGCGTGAAAGATTACGTCTAATGTTATTTCCTCGTCATCCGAATAATGAGCTTTGGAAAATAACTTGATCTTCTTTTTGCTACCTTCATTTAAAGTCCCAAGGTGTTCCCAGTCAAACTCATATTCCCCGTAGTGGAGATTTGACTGATCATTTTTGTCATCAACTGGCGGACATCGGTAACTGAAGTTACTGGATAGCTGTTTCGTTATGATCTGCGAATCTAAATCCAAACGCATTCATGGCTACACACAAAACTGTATTCAAAACTTTCAAGTCCATCCACGAGAACGTAGTCAAAAACCAGTGGTTCACATTGTCAACTCTATTCATTTTCAGAGACAGAACGATGATAGTTCAATGTGACTGATAAGAACGGTTTTGCTTCTGATATACTTGAAAAGAACGCCTTATCCCAATCCATAACGTCTCATTAAAAAAGATACACTTATTTAAGAGATAAGAAAGTAACTTTTTATAACAACTTACCGCAACAGGATTAAGCATAAAAAGATCTTGTTCAGAGAGATGTTTATTTTGTGACTCTTTGTTTCGATCAACCGCATTACATTCATTTTTTTTATTGACAAACGTAACTGTTGAGTGAGTTTTACGTTTTATTAAAAACCTTTTGGGTGATGGTAAATCGGAATTTACTAACTTATTCGTACATCTATTACTGTTATTATTAATGCTATCAGTAGTCCCAATACTACAATCACAATCATTTTGTAATAAAGATTGTGGACTATCATCTGAGGAATTAATGCGCCCACCCATTGATCTCCGAAGATTAGTTCTATTTAATTTACTACTGTCTAACACAGAACCTTCGGTTTTTAATGATAACGAATCCCATGAAGGTGTAAACATGGGATGATGATGGCGAAGTGATGTCTGCGACGACAACGGTAGCACTGTGGCAGCAGAAAGTGGAGTAGGATTATGTGAGAATTTTGTTAAAGATGATGGTGATGATGACGATGACAATAGAGCAGTTGATAAAGATTTATTCGGGAAAAAATTGACACTTGTAGCAGATACATTTGGAGTATTCGGTAGACTAGTGTCAACATTATTCTCCGTGAAACTAGGAGACGATACTTGTTTCATACGAATTTCATTTTCATGACAAACATTTACGTCCAGCTCAATTGATCGTAGTGTGGAAAAACCTACACAATATAACAATTTATAGTGATTATGATTTGATTGTGGACTGACTGATAATGTGGATAGACTTTCGGTAATTTGTGTAAATTCTTGATAGTCTAAGTACAAACGTGTTTGTACATAAGAAATTTGCTGATATATATAATACAAAAATATGATTTGATCTAATGTGTCAGGAATTCTCAGTTTTTCACTGTTCATGGTAGAAAATTTGATAAGGCGTGATAATAAAATACGATTAGTGTATAATTGATCTGTAGAACCTAAAGAGATCTTGATTGGACATTGATCTACTGATTGGTTTATCATATGTGAGGATGATGATTTTGAATCCATAGGGATTAATTTATTATCAATATCAATTATTAACGATATTGGAGAATGATTGAATGGTTGATTCTTGTTGATAACTGTTGAAGGCACCGATACATCAATTGGCATTAATGACCATATAGTCAAAGGAAGAGATTCAATTAATGATTGACGGTATATTATACAATCATTGATTCGATGATCGTTGTTAACAAGATGGACAGAATTATATGTCGTCATATCGATTATTGTAAGAAATTCACTCCACACATTTGGACAATGAATGCACCAAAATTGTTCTTCGAAATTCTGCGAGAAGTTTTCAAAAAAATATATAAGTATATAATAAATGAGATTTTTAATGCATATACGTGTTTATGTACTGAGCTTGTAGTATACTTTTAAAGTGCTATGATAATATTACTCAACTTTCAAATTAAAGCAATTGGAGTAAAAATTGCCCTTGCAATTCAGTGTTAGTGGTAGTTGAATGATTCAATCAATAAGCCGTTGTTTCACACAAAGGTCAGAAGATTAGGCTATATAAGTAAAGGACAAATGATTTTGACTAAATCTGAAAACTATGAAATAGATGAATTTTTATTGTAATGATTCTAATCTAATGGTTGGTAAATGACCTAGAAAATCCTAATGATGATTTACACTAAAAGTTTTTAATCATGTTTATTTTGTGATAAATAGCTTGTGTACATAAGTTTATCATTTTTACTACATAAAATGGTCTATACGTTACTCATGAAATATTTTATTGATATTAGTTTATAGGGACTAAATTTAAATCAGTCCGGATTTTGAAAATAGCCATCACAAGATTGAATTGTTCATTATCAATTCAAGTGGTCGATTGTAGTCAGCAAAATTAAATAATCTTTAAACCGTAATGCTACCTTAATGTGCAGAAATAGATCATTTTCGAAAAAAAAACATTGCATCAAGACCATCACATAGTGGAGATCCTGACTCATAAATTTGCCAGATTTAATTCACCCATGAAGGAAGAATTAATTAGCTAACACTACCTTCCCATACATCTAGAGTGAGTTCATTGTGAATATATTCACTGCAAATAAATCGGACATAAGGCCGAACTTTAGTTATTCAAACCTTCATATGAAAAACACAATGTTGATTTGTGAAAATTCATTGGTCTATTTTAAAGGAGAATCAACATCAAAAAGTGGTGTTAGTGAAATCTATCAAGTTGGAAGGGCAACACAAACTTCCGGGTGACGCTGAATGTGATTAGTGTAACATAGTAAACTAACACAATTTGGAAGCGAGGACTAGTAATAATGGCGTGATAATGTAGACGCATCGTACTCATTATGAGAACTGAAGATGCTAAGTCTAACAATCGCTCGTTTTCAACGATTATTCGATCTAATCTATTATGAAAGGGAGTTTGAACCTGAGGCCTATTCTCTCGAGAGCCAAGTACATTAGCGGCAAACTACCACTTCATAAAACACTATCTTAGAAGATGAGAGCTAGTTCTAAAAGACGATTTTCACAGCTAACTTGATGATATACGATTGTTTACTCTTTTAAAGAACATATGTGAATCATAACTGTAAGCACAAACATGTACGTCATTCACAATAAAACAAATTTACAAAGAATGAATCAAATATTGTTTCATACCTTAAAACTTACGGGACATAAACTATGTAATTCTGTAGCTGACTGAACTAGTTTTTGGAATTTTGACAAATCCGGTGATTTGTGTGGAACAGCTTGAGAAATGAATGGATTATTACTCATACAACTGGTATCATATTGACCATAACTCAATTGCAAATTGTCTAACAGCTTTTTCAAACAATCAGCGACATGTGATGATATAGGAGCTGCTAGTGACTGTACGATAATTTGATCTGACTGAAAGAACAATTTTGGGAAAAAGAGTAAACTGAATGAAAAAGAAAGGGAAATAGGAAAATTTGTTTCATACGCTCATAAGCAATCATAGAGACAGTGCAGAAGCTATTATCAATACGTATCGATTCGAGTTACCTCTTAAGACTACTTCAAATCATGTCACGTAGCGTTAAATTGTATATTCCAATTGTTCTACAGAGTTCGACTAGAAATTCTGAATACCCTGAAATGAACCAGTTCAGTAGTTAGAAAGTTTGCAAAACGATATCATGAAATGATCTGTCCGCCCATAGCTTTTGTCAAATCCACTTCCATGGTAGCCAGTAAATGATCTCCAGGTAGACACCGATTTGGCAAATAACAACAAATATCCCTTCATTTGGTAGATGAACATTCACAACGTAGTTCAAAATTTACTATCTTCCTCCAGTGTTTCGAAAGCAATGGATCACTAGACACTATCACTCAAGTATTTTACGAGTAAAACAGTCAAAATGAGTGACTCTTTTGAGTAATAGATTATAAACATGACTTGTTTGTTAAAAGTATTTAAAATCGACCTCTATCGTTTGGTGGCAACTGAAGTTAAGTCATTACAAAATAATCAATACAGTTTGAAAACATACATAGTATTAGTCATAGAAGAATAATTAATTACTTGTAAAATAAGAGCGTGTGGTCCAATCCAATTGGATGAATTCGTATGACGATTGGACTGTCCAAATAGTGAGAATATCAACTATATTTGAAAAACAGTAATACGAGTTCGATCATTTAAATGATACAATGAGTTCAAACGAAACTTTCAATACTGATCAACAGAGAACAATAGTAATTTGAATCAAAGACCAGAAGAGGTTTACTGTTGTGGTCGACCGAAACAATAAACGTGATCATATATTTTAGACGGAACAGACTAGCAGAGACCATTTAAAATGTTAGACAACAATTATTAGTATCCGATCCCAATTGAGGTATTATTAAAAGTCAGGAAGCACTGAACAACTCTCTCGTCATGGTAAGGGGCTCCTAGCAATTCTCACTGACGACACCACTAGGAATCGGCGTCGGAAATACATACCGTCAGATGTTAGTCTGGTGGTCTAATAATAAATTACTCGCGCTATACATTTCGAACAATCTGGTCACACATATACTTGTCAGGGCATTTTTATATGAAAGTACTAAAGGTCAAACAAATAAAAGTCCAATTAAAATAACTAAGGGGAGAGAAAGAATAAGAAATTGTCGCGTTATCCTAGGCCATAGAATGACTTAGGAATTACCAAGGTAAATTCAAGGTTACGACAAATTGTTTTTGTACACATAAGGGGGGGGGTAAATTTACGAATAGCCAAGGCTTCAATAAACTTAAGAATACGAACTTGACAAGGTCTATACAACGTTCTAAATGCTGTATTAATGTCAATTTTGTGCCCCGTCTCAATTATATGTTTCGCTATCGATGAACTTGGTTTTCTACCTCCTACATTGATCGGATCATTTGACTCACATTGATTTTGAAGCCATCTAGGCACATGTTCATTGACCCTTGATTGCATTGTTCGAGTACTCCTCCCTATGTATGTGTGTCCACATAAACATGTAAATTGGTAAATACAATGGGATGTGACGTAATCATTGGTGCATTGTTTGGGTCTATTAGGAATTATGGCCTTAAACTTTTCAATCACAACCAACTGAGCAGCATAATGCGTATTCTCGATAGCTGCTTTCAATCTCTGTCTTAAAACTACTGTTAGATTCGCCTCTATATGGTAGGTTGATATAAACTTTTTTCTTTGACACTGAATAAATTAGAGGTCGTGGCATTCACTGACTTTTGCACCTATTAATAAACTTGAGTGGATAACCATTTGCTATTAATGTGTCAGTCAGTAACTTTTCATCTTTTTCCACCATGTCAGAGGTACATATACTTTGAGTCCTCTTAAAGAGACACTTAACCAGACCTCTCTTGTATTGCAATGGACAGAAACTATGGAAATTTAAGTATTGTCCCGTCCAAGTTGGTTTCCTATACACTGACCGTCTAATAGTGCCATCCCTTCAACTTAAGAGTATGTCTAGAAAGGCTAATTGGCCATTACTTTCTGATCCATGTGTCATCACAATATCGTTTTGAACACCATTGAGTTTATCCAATAATCAGTAAGCATCAAAATCCTTATCACATATAATTAGGATATCGTCCATATATCTTCTATAAAAAGTTGTCTCACTAATAAGGTCGCTCGTCATATTTTCCACATATGACATGAACACATCAGCTAAGAGAGGCTCCAAAGGGCTACCCATAGCTACACCATCAACTTGTCGAAAATATTCACTATCAAACATAAATTGAACATTAGCTGTACATAATAAAAATAATTCTTTCAAAAATGGTATTTATTATTATTATTATTAGTTTTATTCAATATTATAATTTTGGTACAATATAGAATTCTCAGCGCAAAGTATTTCAACAAGTTTCCGTTTCTTTCTTCTTGGTCGGTCCTGGCGATAAATATTGAGGAATCGCCAGTTAGATGTTAGCACTTCAGTGAATGAACAACTGAATAATGTACATTCTTTTCGTTGTACATTGCCAGCAACCATATTGTCTCTTATTGAGTTTTCTGTAACTTTGACAACGAAAGGTTGTACACTTTTCAGAAACGCAGCAGAATAGGTTATGCGATTAATAAACATAATGATTCCTCAATATTTATCGCCAGGACCGACCAAGAAGAAAGAAACGGAAACTTGTTGAAATACTTTGCGCTGAGAATTCTATATTGTACCAAAATTATAATATTGAATAAAACTAATAATAATAATAATAAATACCATTTTTGAAAGAATTATTTTTATTATGTACAGCTAATGTTCAATTTATGTTTGATAGTGAATATTTTCGACAAGTTGATGGTGTAGCTATGGGTAGCCCTTTGGAGCCTCTCTTAGCTGATGTGTTCATGTCATATGTGGAAAATATGACGAGCGACCTTATTAGTGAGACAACTTTTTATAGAAGATATATGGACGATATCCTAATTATATGTGATAAGGATTTTGATGCTTACTGATTATTGGATAAACTCAATGGTGTTCAAAACGATATTGTGATGACACATGGATCAGAAAGTAATGGCCAATTAGCCTTTCTAGACATACTCTTAAGTTGAAGGGATGGCACTATTAGACGGTCAGTGTATAGGAAACCAACTTGGACGGGACAATACTTAAATTTCCATAGTTTCTGTCCATTGCAATACAAGAGAGGTCTGGTTAAGTGTCTCTTTAAGAGGACTCAAAGTATATGTACCTCTGACATGGTGGAAAAAGATGAAAAGTTACTGACTGACACATTAATAGCAAATGGTTATCCACTCAAGTTTATTAATAGGTGCAAAAGTCAGTGAATGCCACGACCTCTAATTTATTCAGTGTCAAAGAAAAAAGTTTATATCAACCTACCATATAGAGGCGAATCTAACAGTAGTTTTAAGACAGAGATTGAAAGCAGCTATCGAGAATACGCATTATGCTGCTCAGTTGGTTGTGATTGAAAAGTTTAAGGCCATAATTCCTAATAGACCCAAACAATGCACCAATGATTACGTCACATCCCATTGTATTTACCAATTTACATGTTTATGTGGACACACATACATAGGGAGGAGTACTCGAACAATGCAATCAAGGGTCAATGAACATGTGCCTAGATGGCTTCAAAATCAATGTGAGTCAAATGATCCGATCAATGTAGGAGGTAGAAAACCAAGTTCATCGATAGCGAAACATATAATTGAGACGGGGCACAAAATTGACATTAATACAGCATTTAGAACGTTGTATAGACCTTGTCAAGTTCGTATTCTTAAGTTTATTGAAGCCTTGGCTATTCGTAAATTTACCTCCCCCCCTTATGTGTACAAAAACAATTTGTCGTAACCTTGAATTTACCTTGGTAATTCCTAAGTCATTCTATGGCCTAGGATAACGCGACAATTTCTTATTCTTTCTCTCCCCTTAGTTATTTTAATTGGACTTTTATTTGTTTGACCTTTAGTACTTTCATATAAAAATGCCCTGACAAGTATATGTGTGACCAGATTGTTAGAAATGTATAGTGCAAATACATCACATTTTTCAGATCAACTCCGTCTTCTCGTTGTTCTATCGAAATTTATAAAAGGGTCTAATTGCTTTAAATCAAGTACTCGCCACAAGACCTCAAATCCCATATTCCATTCTTGACGGGGTCTTATGTAGGGACAAGTTATCTGTTTAGTATTTCCTGGTTTTTAATAATGACCCAGGCTGAAATCGATTCGTAACGAGTATTACCTACAAATAATCTCATTTCAAACTTCAATTATTATATTGTTTCAATTTCATTCTGGAATACTGTTAACTATTATCAATTACATTTGTCATTAGGTAAATAGCGTATTCCATGTAAAGCATTTCAACCTTTTTCATTTTCTCTACTCAACAGGATTGTTACAAGTATTATTTTCACCTTACTCTTGTCCAATAATAATGGAACTCTAAACGGTTTAGTGGTTAAAGCATTTGATTTCCAATTAGTATGCAGATTAGAACACAGTTCCGTCTGTTTGGCTTGGCAGACTAGACAGCATCATTATACATTACAAAACTAAATAACGGATACACGAACCTGAGCACAGAATATGAGTTACCCTTTTTACTTCCATAATGGATACACAAACTTACCAACATCCGGATGTTACAGTAAATATTATGAAAACCAAAATCATCATATTGTATTAAATAACCAATTCACTTAGTTAACAATAATATATATATATATATATATATAGCGGTCTTGTACCCTACACTCACGGTGAAAAATTATGAGCACAAAATGTGCAATGTTACAACAAGTTCAGGTCATATATCCACTTAACTTGTGAACAGCTTGTAAACTTTTTATAAAGCCACGTAGGCACGTATTTCATTTACACAATTTCTTAATATCAGAGGTTGGAAAGTTCAACTATTAATGCTTAGAAATAAACGTAGAATCTTATTAGATTATCATAAATCTAGAAATAGTAAGCAAAACACTTTGAAAAATTCTACTTACACGAGGCATCAAAGCTTCAAGTCGTACATGATATCGATTTAAATCAAATAGTCTGTTAGGTTGTTTCGACGGATGGTTTGTATCTCTGCCGGATAAGAAAGTTGACTAAATAAATATAACAAAAATGAGTTCTGATTTAGCAAAAACTAAAAATGGAAAATAATTACAAAGTAGCACTATGAAAACCGAGAAATAAGAAACTTAGATACGCTTCACATAGGTTGACAAAGTATACATGCCTAAAAAGAATTTCACTGATAGAAATCCAATTATCCCCAATCATTATACAAGATCAAGAGTCAGACCGAAGTAAGATACAATAAAAATAAAGAGGGACATAATGACGGATCAGAGGTCAACAACAACTAGTCAACATTAAGGTCGACAGGAAAAGCTGTGATTCATATGCAGAGAAACCCGAACACTTCACTTCTAACTGAAGTTTTTGCCGATGATGTTGTTCAGAAGAACAATGAAAGCCACATGACCAGACTATCCAGATCATAGAATAAAACCAAAATTATCCACCTACGCTACAAATCTTTATTATATCAAGGTGGGAAAAGGGATTTCCATCAATACTCCAATAAGGGAACATATTTAAAAAGCGATAGCTAGCATGTTTCATTCTGTTCAAAGTTTATCACTTGAGCTTACCATGACGGACTTAGTATTTCTTGCACTAAGACATGAAATCACCAGCCTGGTGCGTTACAATGACCACATACTAACAGATCATAATTAAACCAATCTTCTAAATTGAAAACTGAACGACAATTGAATACTGCTTGTTGTCTTTTATTGAAGTAAGGAAAAGTCAGAGTCAACTTCGTTGATGTATGTTCACCTATCTTGTGCAAGTTGAGGCATTTTCCTTATCTCATCATTCGAAATAGCGAAATGTAGGGTAAATGGTCACAAATCTATTATTACCTTTTTTAAGTACGTAATTAAAATGAGAGATCAGTGTAGCCGAACTGAATGAGATTGGAAATATCGGTTGGTGGACGTCAAATCGCTCAACGCTGGGACTGGAGTTATAGGGTTTCATTTTTTGACGAGGTCATGCAGTGTTCAGGAGGCCCGAAAGTGGGCGAAGCAAATGATCAATGCTTTCTACGTTTCAATACTTATCTAGTTAAATTTAGTTCGCCATGTAGACCATCTTCAGATATGACAATCATTGATGAATAAAAAAAACCTAAACACCGAAATATCAAGGAAAAACTGTTGAAATGTGCAAATTAATTCACAAATAATAAACTTTTCTTTTGACTACTCTTCTCAGCATCATTCACAACAACAAATATTAAGTTTATGGGTCAATTAAAGCTAGACCACCATGAAAAACCTGAAAGCACTGGATGGCCGTTTCGTCCTAGTATAGGACTCTTCAGCAATGCGCACCCACGATCTAGCTGTCCAGTGCTTCCAGGTTTTTCATGGTGGTTTAACTTGAATTAACTCATGAACTCAACCATAAAATTACTTAAATGTTCACAAAACCGTCTTTTGATATATGGGAGGCTAATGTCCTCAATATCTGACTCCAATAAATAATATCCCGTAAATGAGTGTTTTAGGTAGGAATTGCGAATTTACTCGAGATTATTGAGAAGACTGAACACCAGTTATAGAGATAGTTTATTGTTAATGATTAATAAAAATCCACAATCGTACGGTGAGCAAGCACACGATGAAAGGAGTGAGTGAGTATGTGTGTGTTTAAAATCCATATATATTTTTCCGAGTTAATCGGGTGTGGATAAATTATCGATTATCTGCACTTGAAACCAATAGGAGGATAGCTTAAGAGTTAATGTACAGACATGCATTCGATCATACACACCGAAATTAACATAGTGAATTAAGAGTCTGAGTTACAATGAATAGACAGATGATACAGTGGCCAAATGGGCTTGCCACAGATAAAAAAATGTTAAGTCATTTATATACTTGAGGTGTGATTTATTTATGCATCCACGACATACGACACATATGGCTTTTTTTTCTATGCAAAAACTGGCAGTACAACTTAAATGATCAATAAGATGATTAAAAATGGAAACCTGAAAGTCGTGGATAGGAACCCATACGAGGTTCGAAAAGATGCACTCAACAGTACACCTCAATTTCAAATGTTTCTACAATCGACGTCAGTCTGTAAAGAAAATGAACTTCAAATGTCAATTATCCGCTAGCGTTGATTGGCTAGGGAACAACCAATCAGCGTGCTCCAACACAATCATGGCCGGAATATGGTTTAATCCAATCTGTATCCTGAGAATAAGTACGGTCTTAATTTAAGATAGTAAACGCTTACATGAAACGTTCCATCCTCTATTTTTCTAATGAAGTAAAGTTAGCCATCTTTCATCCAAATGTCTTCGTGAATTAAACTAAATTAAAGATAGATCGACTTAAGAATTAAAAGTACCTCAGATAGTCCGTATTTATAAACGTTTACATGTATAAATTACAATAAGTTGAAAGCTATTGCCTTATTCAAACAGTTTCACATTGTGTCAACAATTGCAGCCTTGAAGTTAATAGTGTAAATCAATAACAGTATGTTTTATTTATTGACGAATAATACCGAACAACAAATAAATAAGTAAGAACTGTGATTAACGAACAAAACATGTACCAGTAATATATAAATAAATCAACTATTTTATAACTAATCTAGTCAAACTATTTCTAGGTAGTAAAAACCAAAATTCATGATTTGTTTTTGTTGTGCTAAAGGTCCTTCAGTGCAACGATGTGAGGAACAAAATCGATCTTACAAATGCTTGGAGCTCAGATTTTACAGATATACATTAAGAATGTATGCATTTGTTTTATGTTTACTATTGATTAGCTTGGAGAAGAATCCCAAGAAGTTCTAGTGAGAATAGCTAATATTGGTTAAAATATTAAAGATTCTCATTGTGAAAATTAGAACAACACATATAAGCGAACAATTGTTTTCAATTAGACCGTCATCAAGTTTTACTCTAATATACATAAATATTTATACGAAAATGTTAAACCAATCAAGGCAATATGGGTCAATAATCACAATGAAATAGAATAGCTCACCACGCATAATAAGTAAAAATACAAGTCTTGATTGGTTTAACATTTTCGTATAAATATTCATGTCAGTCAGTAACAACGTATAACTTCGTACGTACGTACATCATTTCGAATTGCCACACCACATTAGCACAGAGATACAGTGGTCGATTCAAATCCCGTAGTGGTAGAGGTAATAAGAGTATAAGCAGTAATCGGAAAGATTAGGGTTTGGAGATGTTATTCAAGGAGTATGATACAGTGAAATAAATTTGGGAAGAGAAGAAAGAAAGGGACATGAAGAATTCAGAAGATTAAAATTTGGGAGAACACAAAGTGGATGCACCCGCGCACACCATTGCAAACGATTTTGAGCCATGTCATTCAGGGTATCTAACCATCGGTTTCTATCATATCGCGATCCCCAATCAGGTAGTCTACACCTGCCAACATGACTCAGTCCATTTGTCAGTGACTTCATGGACTTGTGCCATGTTTTGGTCTGGCCGCACCTAGCTTTCTTCCAATCTACTCCTATACCACTGAACATCGCACGTCGAGGAAGTCGTTCGTTGGGCATACGTAACACGTGTCCCAGCCATCTCAACTGATGAAGTTTCACTACCTCATCAATTTCTTTGTCATCCTTACCTAGTACCCGTTTCCTAACAACTGTATTACTTACTCGATGGTCCCAGGATATACAAGCAATGTTTCGAAGACATCTATGATCAAATACTAGTAACCTACGAATATCCTCTACTCTTACTGGCCATGTTTCATTGACATAAAGTAGGAAGGAACGAACTACTGCACAGTAAACACGTCCTTTGGTTGATAGACGGATATCTCTCCTACGCCATAAGTGACGCAAGTTGGAAAAAGCTAGTCGAGCTTTCTGTATCCGTGCTGAGATTTCGTCACATACCAGACCACAAGGGCTGATGAGGCTCCCAAAATAAGTGAAGCGGTCGACACGCTCAACTACTTCACTCCCTATCACTAGTTCGAGTGTCGATGCAACCCAATCCTGAAGCAACATTTTGCATTTCGAGGGGAGAATCGCATCCGGAACATGCTTGCATTGTTGCTTAGAGTGGTCAGAAGACTGCATTTTGTCAGCGTTTCCACCAAATAGAACGACGTCATCGGCATATTCTAAGTCAACAAGTGAATCTCCCGGTAGAAGTCTAACCCCTCGAAATTTAGGTGAGGAAAGTGTTATCTCTAAAAGCACGTCAACGACAAAGTTGAACAAGAATGGAGAGAGTGAACAGCCCTGGAGAACACCACTTGAGGTAATCAATTCTGATGACAGTTCGCCATAAGCTCTCACTCGACCAGTTGTGTTCGAGTAGAGAGCTTTTACAAGGTTAATGTGCTTTTTTGGTACTCCTTTCAGTGACAAACACTGCCATAGAACCTCACGATCAACAGAGTCGAATGCCTCCTTAAGGTCGAGAAATACTATGATTGTGGGGCATCTGAATGTGTGTCTATGTTCTAGGACCTGATGTAGTGTGAATATCTGGTCTATACAGCCACGTCCAGGTCGAAAACCAGCCTGGTTTCTTCTAGTCCGCTCTTCACGAGCTTTAGTTAGGCGTCGAAGTATTATTGAAGCTAATATTTTAGACACCATATTAGTCAGACTGATTCCTGTGTGATTGTCACAAGAGGACTTTTGTCCTTTCTTGTAGACTGGCACAATCAGTGATTGAGACCAGTCAGATGGGATTGCGTCCGGTTCCAAAATTCTACCTAAGACCTCAGTTAATCTCACTGCTAATACTGGACCACCATCCTTAAAAATCTCAGGACTAAACCTGTCAGGACCTGCTGCTTTCCCTCGCTTCAGATTTCCTGTAGCTTTCTCAACTTCGTAAAGAGTCGGAGGATTTATATTAACTTTCCATCCAGGTCAACTGGAGATCGTGGGAAACCGAAGTGTGGCTAAAGGTCAGTTGAACTGATCCCTAAAGTGTTCTGCCCATCGATCCAATCTCCTGGATTGAGAATGTATAATATGTCCATCTTTTTCTGAGATAGTTTCGATAACAGTCAGGTTCCTAATACCGGTTTCCTTAATAAGTCTGAACAGTTGTCTGCTATTACCTATTGCCGCTGCCTTTTCCATCTCTCTTGCTTTCGCTATCCACCACTGTTCGCGATCATTGCGTAGGCTTCTTGTCAGCTTGTGCTTAAGCTGACTCCGCTCTTCGTTGTGTTCAGAGCCAGATGGAATGAGTTTTCGAGCATCTATCAGTGCGGTAGCTGCTGCTGAGATTCAGTGTTGCTCCCTAACCTTACGCTTTACCGTACTAGCAGATATCACTGCGGTTTCCACAGCTCTTCGGATATCATTCCATGCTGCCTCGGGGTGGGCATCACCTACATGGCTGCCTGTTTTTCTAGTGGATCCTGAAATATACTCTTAGCTTGACTATCATTAAGTAGGGCCCTAAGAGGTTTCCTTGCAGCATCTTTCTTACGTCCAGTAAGACGCAAGCAAATACGCGCTCGCACTAGAGCATGATCTGAATCTAAGCATATGCTCCAGAATGAGCGACAGTCTTCTATTGAGCCCCTCCATCGGTGGCTGATAGCGATGTGATCTATTTGGGTCCAACGTTGGGACGATTTAGGGGGTCGCCATGTTAAAAGATGTTTTTCCTCATGCTTAAAGTTAGTAATTGCAAGAAACAGGCGGTTATCTAAGCATAGCTGCAACACCATAAGATCCACCCAGGTGTCTTTCCCTTTCGCTTAGTTTACCTACTTGAGCATTAAAGTCACCAGCCACTATTACTACATCAGAGCGCCTAGCTTTTCGGAGGTCGGAAAGCTTTCTGTAAAATTCATCTTTTACATCATCTGAGCTGCAGTCAGTGGGAGAATAGGCAGAGACGACAAAGAGGCAACGACGAGTGTGCCTACCTTTCCGAGTCCTTACTGTTCCGTCTCGTCGTACAGCGCACAAACGACTGTCTACTGGGATCCAGTCTAAGAGAGCTATTTCTGCCCTAGGACTCGATGCTATGCCTACGCCGGCGAGGCCACGGGAAGCAGCATCAGGGCTTCCAGATACACGAAGTGTGAATCGAGTTGGCTCTCTATTTCGACATGGTGATGTCAATTGAATGACGCTACTCGGATCCTGTATGAGCGTTTTGGAGGCACAGCACATATCGATGGTGAGAGATTCTAAAGTCCTAGCTAAGGAAGCTTGTTGTCCTATTTGACACAGTGTTCGGACGTTATAAGCTCTAACATGGAGTTTAGAGCGTGATTTCAGGAGACCAGGAATAACGTTCCGCGTACTCCAATCGTTTTCCCTAGCGGTACGAGATGATAAAGGGATGTGATAAAGGTTAGTCATGGAGATAAGAGTATTATTAGGAAGTGTAGGAAGGATTTGAATGTGACCAACTTGGTCTCGTGTGCTGTTACGGGTATGAGGGCTGGTGTCACTTTCCGGCTGCCCACACCGTGGAAGGGTATTTCTTGAGGAACCTGAAAAGGAAATTGGATTAGTGTTGGTCTTAACGACCTGGGAGCATGACCGCAGAGCCCAAGGGACAACTGCTTGAGGCCGGTCGCGCACGGCCTTTACGTGGAAGGTTTTCATGTATAATAAAGTAAAGCCTGATGACGATCTAATTGAAAACAATTGTTCGCTTATTTGTTGTTCTAATATTGGTTAAGTCTAATTTTATCGTTATAACTATCGAGATAATTGATGGTATTGACTGATGGTTGTACAGTAATGCGAATTGGTGTTTGAAAAATCGAATCTCAACGCAGTGAACTAAAAGGTAACATGCTAACTGCAAAACATCTAGGTCCTGAGTCCGAGCTCACTTAGTGTTGCAGACATGCTTTACTAAGGACCGTACAAAACTTGAAAATAATTGTCTGATGGTTTGTGGTTTTTGAACGATTCTGCAGCTAGAAAACATTTTTTCAGCGTAAGAATTCTCTTCGGCGAGTTTAATTTCAATACTGTACAATCGTATATGTATGTGACATATTACAGGTCTACGAATAATTCTGTTGGTTAGAATTTGATTAGATATTAAGTGAAATTAAACCACATGTTTTTAAACAAACAAATAAAGAGGGAATTTATGAAACATTAAAAATATTCAATTAATCGAGTGAACAGAGTAATTAGAAGCATCGTTAAGTTGAAATGAAGATATGTGGATGGTGATCCAGCAATCGATATCGAAACATTTGTGACAATAATAATGATAACTAATTCTGTAGATATAGGAGTAAAACAGTGAAAAGAAATTGAGCAACCAAACAAAACAAATCCATAAACTAACGGTATATTAACGAAAGGTTGATATCAAACAAGTCATTTTTGCACAAACAACGCGGACCATACTTTATGGATAGGTTAGGCTTCTATAAGAAAAAATTGGTTTAGATGTATATCTGTTGGTGTCTTTGACTGGATTTTATAAATGATGACAAAGGACAAGTCGGAGGTTGGATGTCCTATGTCTAATAAATATTACAAAATGGATGACATAATTGACATATGTTGTACCTTGTTAAAACATAGTGGTAGATGCTTCTGAATAGAATGAAGTCTAGAATAGAATGAGTCTAGACGAGAGACCTTTAACTAATGTTAGCCTGTGATGAAAATCTATGTTAAATAGAACAATCACCTCAATTCCTTTATTTTATTAACATATATACAAAATTTATTAACCATGTGTTTCATTCGAAGATTCAGCAGTCCTGAACGTACATGACAGCAATACAGGTAAACTCAAGATAATTTTACATTGAACGAAGTATGTGAAATAAATGGGTTTTTAATTTCAAATATAATCTTACTTATGATTATATAACCTGATAGACGCATTCTCAAAAACAGATAGATAGATAAATGAATACAATAATAAGAACAACAGCGGTAGATTAAACTTCACACAAGTAAACAAATATATTTTGGAAGATGGATAGTATTAAGAAAAACAAAATTGCTGCGTGCGTTTAGTACAAAAACGCTAGGACAACAACAACATACGACAATGGAATACTAATAATAACAACTTTTTTCCAAATAAGGAATTAATATTCAAATAAACAAACCTGAAATCGAAGCTAAAATTAATGAATGAAGAAAAGGGAGGGGGAAGTATGAGTAATAAAACAACAGAATACATGAAATATGTTTACTAGCTACAATTTTAATGGACTTATTTTTGAGCTACACAATTAGATGATTAGTAATATTCCTACCTAGTTATCTAAACAAAAGTAAGCCAAGTAGGATTTGAACATAGAAAATTACTGGTTAGAAATTGATTGCTTTAACCACAGCAACAGAGTAGTAACGAAAATACGATGGTGATTCATATGAATTAATTAAAATGATAAGTGGAAGTCAAAGTGATATTTATCATCATCTAAATGGGAGCAAACAAATTTGGAAACAGCAGTGAGATCTAACAGTAAATTAAACCAAAAGGTGATGATTTCTGTACCATCTATTGAACTAACAAATTCTTGGAAACTTATATCGTCAGGTTTCAAACACCATGAGGAGCGGAGTTGGCTTATCGTAGAACGGGAACAAGCTTGCGCAATGATCGTGGGCAGTGGTGGTTAACGAAAGCAAATTTGAAAAAAAAACAGAAGCAAAAGACAGCAATATACAAATATTCAGAATTATCAGCGAAACATGCACTAAAAATCGGAAGACCATGGGACTAATGTCGACTCTCGGTCTAGAATATTGGACCGTTGGGAAGAATACCTTAGCGGACAGTTTAACTAGCCTTCAGAAACTCTTCAATTCCCTACTATCTCCAAATAATCTGTATGGCAAATTGACATAAATCCTTTAACTCTTAAAAAGGTTACAGGTGATCTAAAGGGAAGGAAAACAGCAAGTCTAGAGAGATTAATCCCAATGGCATTAGAAGGTTGTGGTCCAGTTTTAGAGGTTAGTTCGACTGAGACATTAGCTAAGATTCGGGGAGTGGAAAAATCACTTCTAATTGGTCTGGATCGTTGATTGTCTCAGTTTACAAAATAATACAAAACTCCTCTTGTAACATTCATAGAGACATCAGTTTAACTGACATAGTATCTAAAATGTTAACTTAATTAGTCGTCCAACGATTAACTCAGTCAGCAGTCAGTCAGCTACAACGTAGGACCAGGCACATATATGCATCGATCCAGGTTGCCATACCTCATTAGCACAGCAAGATGAACACCGGATTCATAGGAGTGGTAGGTCAAAGGTGGTAATATATAGGAAAAGGATTGCATATAAGGATACAGTACAGGAAGAAAGAATTAGTTAGTAGAAGGAAAGATATGAAGTGATTTTAATCTCTTAGTTTAAGGGAAGATAAAGAGTGTATACAACTACGCCATTGTGATCGATTCTGAGCTATGCCACCCAGAGTCTCCAACCATTGGTTACGAAAGTCACGCGGACCCCAACCAAGTAGTCTGCATCTACCAATATGGCTAGGACTAGAGGTTAGTGACTTCAAGCATTGATGCCACGTTTTGCTTTGGCCGTCAGTAATTCTCTTCCAACCATCTCAGTCGATGAAGATTAACAACCTCATCAACTGAATCACCATCATTCCCTAATACCCTGCGTCTAACCTCACTATTACTTACCCAATGATCCCAGCAGACGCCAGCAATATTTCTAAGGCATCTGTGGTCAAATACTAGTAGCTTACGAATATCTTAAACTCTTAATGGCCATGTTTCGCTGCCGTAAATTAAAACAGAACGGACTACCGCACAGTATACTCGTCCTTTTATTGATAAACGGATATCTCGTCTTCGCCAAAGGTGACGTAAGTTGGCAAAAGCCAAACGAGCTTTTCGAATCCGTGCTGAGATTTCGTCCGATACCAGCCCATTAGGGCTGATCAGACTTCCAAGATAAGTGAAGTTGTCGACGGGTTCGACTACTTCACTCCCTATCCTTAGTTCAGGTGTTGATGCAGACCAGTCTTGAAGCAACAACTTGCATTTAGAGGGAGAGAAGCGCATTCCAAACATTATGGCATTGTTGCTTAGTGCTACCAAAAGACTCTGCATTTTGTCAGCGTCTTCACCAAACAGGACTATATCATCTGCGTATTCTAAGTCGATAAGTGGACCTCCTGGAAGGAGACCAATACCCGAGAATTCAGTCGACGAGGACGTTATTTCCATCAGTATATCTATGATGAAGTTGAACAGAAATGGAGATATTAGACAGCCTTGACGGACACCACTTGAGGTTGCAAAATCAGATGACAGTGCTCCATAAGCTCTGACTCGACTGGCAGTGTTCGAGTAAAGAGCCTTCACAAAGTTTATGTACTTCTGGGGTACGCCATTAAATAACAGACACAGCAACAGAATGTCGCGGTCTACCGAGTCAAATCCTGCTTTTAAGTCAAGAAAGACCACCATTGTCGGACGTCGATAAGTATGCCTGTGTTCTAGAACCTGACGAATGGTGAATATGTGGTCGATGCAGCCACGACCAGGTCGAAGCCAGCTTGATTCTCTCGTGTTTGCAGTTCACGAGTCTTAGTTAGGCGTCTGATAATTATCCAGGCTAGTATTTTAGATATTATATTAGTTGAACTAATCCCTCTATGGTTGTCACAGGATGATTTTGACCCTTTCTTATATATTGGGACGATAAGTGATTGCGACCAGTCAGATGGGATAAAGTCTAATTCCCAGATCTTAGCTAAAATATTAGTCAACCTAATCGCTAAAATTGGACCACCATCCTTAAAGACTTCTGGAGCCAATCCATCTGGACCAGCTACCCTTCCTCGTTTCAGATTAACTATAGCCTTTTGAACATATGCTAGAGTTTGGGGATCTACTTCAATGTTCCATTCACACTGTCTGAGAATGGAGGGTAGTTGTAGAGTAGCTGAAGGCCAGCTGAACTGTTCTCTGAAATGTCCCGCCCATCGTTCTAAACGTCTGGACTGGAAGCAGATGAGAATGTCGTCTTTTTTTTACGAAATAATCTCACTTACACTTGACTTATTAATTCCAGTTTCTTTTATTAGTCTGTAAAGCTGTCTTGTGTTCCCTATAGTCGCCGCCTTTTCCATTTCTTTTGCTTTCGTTGCCCACCACTGCTCACGGTCGTTTCTTAGACTTTTTCTTAACCTAGATCTGATTTGTTGTCGCTCTTCATCATGTTCGGAACCTGATGGGACGAGTTTGCGAGAATCCATCAGTGTGATAGACTTTGAAGAAATCCACTGGTTCTTTGTAACTCTGTGGTTCAAGTCACTAATAGATTTCATTGCTGTTTCCACAGCTGTTTGTATATCTTTCCAAGCAACATCTGGGTCAGCCTCGTTTTCAGAACTACCTAAGTGTGACCTCAGTTGTTCCTGGAACCTACTTTTGGTTTTCTCGTTACTCAACTCAGTTCTAATGGTTCGTTTTAGTGTGGCTTTTTTGCGTCCAGTGAGGCGCAAGCCGATGCGTGCCCGTATTAGAGCATGGTCGGAGTCCAAGCAGGTACTCAAGATTGAGCTTCTCCATTGATGACTGATGGCAATATGGTCTATTTGAGTCCATTATTGGTTTGGTGTAGGGGGTCGCCATGTTATGCTTAAAATTTGTGTTTGCTAAAATTAAGCGATTGTCTGAGCATAGTTGCAGCAGACGATCACTATTATCTGTTCGTTGTGCCGGAATACTAAAATACCCACCTAAATGCCTTTCTGTTTGGTTTAAACTACCTATCTGGGCATTAAAGTCACCTGCTACGAGTACTATGTCTGAACGTTTAGCTTACTGAAGAAGTTCAGATAGCTTTCTGTAAAATTCATCTTTCATTTCATCTGAGCTGCAGTCGGTGGGAGCGTAGGCAGAAACGACAAAAAGGCAACGACGTGTGTCCCTATCCTTCCGAGTTCTCACGGAGCCGTTTAGCCGAACAGCACATAAACGACTGTTGACGGGAATCCACTCTAACAGTGCTTGTTCCGCCCTCATGCTTAGTGCTATGCCTACTCCTGCCAGTCCACGAGAGCTGGCCTTCGGGTCACCAGATTAACTAGGGGCCGAAAAGGACTAACCCGGGAAAACCAGTCTGGTTTTAGACCTAAGCGTCGATGCATCGACCGAATATTAGCAATTCGTCAGTTTCTGGAACACAGACATACTTTTCGATGTCTGACTATAGCTGTATCAACCCAGAGATAACATTCGACTCTGTTGGTCGACAGGTTTTATGGCTGTTTTTGTAACTGAAGGGTGTACAGAAGAAGCACATTAACTATATACAGGCTCTCTACTCCAACAATAATGGTCGAGTCATAGCTTACAGGGAACTGTCATCAGAATCATCAACCTTACGTTATGTTCTTCATGGCAGTCTACATTACCCATTTTTACTCAACTTTGCTATGGACATTATTCTAAAGATAACTCTCTCTGTCTAACTTTTAAGGGATTGGTTTCCTACCAGGAGATTCACATGTTGACTTAGAATACACAAATGATATAGTTCTGTTTTCTGACCGCCTTAATGAACAATGCAAGCACGTTTGGAATGCGTTTCCCTTCCTTCAAATTCAGAATTTTGCTTCACAACTGTTTCGTATAGGCACCTGAACTACTCATAAAAAGGAAGTAGTTGCGTGAGTCGACCATTCGATTGGTGTTTAACAACTTGAGTCCGTCTCCCAACCAATGGGTAGGTTCAATGAGCAACAGTCCGCTCCGCCCTACTTTATGGAAGTGAAACAGCAATTAAGAATAGAGCATATTCCTAGATTACGGGTATTCAATCAAAGGTGTCTTCGAAGCATCGATCGTGTATTCTGAGATCATCGGACGAGCAATGTCGAGAATAGGCAAAAGGTACTAGTTAAAGATGAAAAATTGATTGGTGAGGTAGTGCATTTTGCATCAACTGAAGTGATTGAAACATGTATTTCATACGATTAATCACTAACTACCTTGATGGGAGACGTCGTTTGCTGTGGGAGTATACTAAAAGAAAGCTAATGACCCCAAAGCCAAGATGTGGCACCAATCCGCGAAGTCACTGACAACTGAACTGAGCCATGTTAATGGGTATAGACTACCTCGTTGGGATCCCTCTGAATTTCGTAATTAATGGTTAGAGACTTTAGGTAACATGGAAACAGAATAGCTCGAAATGTATTCACCCTTTGTTTTTCTTTAGAACCTTAGTCCTAACATCACTGTGTACCTTTTCCTTCATTTTTCTATAACTAACCCTTACTACAAGGACTATGACTAATACTAATACTAAAGGATTTGTGTTAACAATTCCATCTAGCTGTGCTCATACTGTGTGGGGTAATATGAACCGAAACATATGTCAGGTTCTAAGTTGCGTATGACTAACTAAAGATGATTCTACTTTATATATTACATTAATATTAATAAACACCTATTATTATGTGTGTACTCAAGTCACTGAGTTTAAAATTATAATCCCTACCACTGTATTACTATTATCATTTCTTTATTACTACACTGTTTTACATCTAGTTAATGTCCCAACACTTGTGAAAGTATGAAGTGTGACCACATTTGTCGTATCAGGAGGGATATTATAGAAATGATAACTTCCGGAACTGTTTTATGGATTATTACTATATTCTCATTGCATAATTGCTAAACAATTAGAATATGTTCCTACAATCCGTTTATCGTAACCTATCAACTGATATTATACAGTTTATTATTTCTAATTTATCGCCCATCAATTACTTACAGATTGTCATATTCACAACCACTTTTGAGTTTTTGTGTATAATTGTAATTTTTTCAATTTTTGGCGTGACTTGGTCCAGTATGTTTGTATATATACCCATGCATACTGGAAATAAATATAGTAAAAGCTGGCTTGGAATAGAAAGGAAACTTTTGGATACCGGAATAATAGAAGTGTAGCTTGCATCGTCTCGAAGTTAACTGTGTAGGTCAGAACATATAGTTAATCGAGTCTAGGACGCTAGGCTATAAACTGAGTAGATGAGGAATAGAAAAAATTATAGTCAATTACTGACTGTTGACACTGGCACGTGATGTAGATTAGTGTTTCAAGCCATAAAATATTGGTTGCTCCTCGGTCGTACTGATGCCGTTACTACTTTTGCAACACTGATTTTTATTTTGACAGCTTTATTTCGCTGCGTTAATGTGCTTTGGCAACTTGGAATGATGCACATATGTCAGGCTCTACGTTGCGTATGACCTGCCATTATATTGAGTAATTACTATTTACAGACGTAAGCCAGTTTACTTCAATTTCTATTGTTACTTTTGACACTAATGAATTCATTTTAGGTATTACAGAATCAAGTTTTGATAAAGACTCCAACACACACATCGTGTGAACTACTGACATAAACGTGCAGTGAACTAGTAAAGTGCAGGCTTTTATTAAACACACTTTGCATATGTCACTTCAACTTAATACAACTAATTCACATATGCTTATGATGTCCTCCATTTTTCATATCTCGGTCTATTTACAATTCCTGTAGTATGTTTTTAGACAGATCTGAGGATCGATATTTAGCTAATGTTAATTAGAACCAACAGTCTCTTTAACGCACCTTGTTAAAGATGAGTATGATAATTGTTCAAAGCCTATTTATAGATATTACAGTTCATGGTGAAAACTGCATTCAGATAATGATATTATTGTGAATGGTTCAATATTTTAAACACTGGGAGAGCATAACTACTAATTTTTTTCAGTCAGTCAGCTACAACGTAGCACCAGGCACATATAAACATCGATCCAATTTGCCACACCTCATTAGCATAACAAGATGAACACGAAATTCAAAACGTACTTCAATGATAGTAATATATAAAAGACTGTGTATAAAGATATAATACAGGAAGAAATAATTAGTTCGTAGAAAGAAAGACATACAACAATTCTAATCTCATAGTTTAAGGGAAGATAAAGAGTGTATACAACTACGCCATTGTGATCGATTCAGAGCCATGTCACCCAGAGTCTCCAACCATTGGTTGCGATAGTTAAGCGGACCCCAACCAAGTAGTCTGCATCTACCAATATGGCTAGGACTAGAAGTTAGCAACTTCAAGGACTGATGACACGTTTTGGTTTGGCCACCCTTTTCTCCCAAGCATCCCCAACATTAGTCACAGCATTACGCATGAAGTAGTCGGTGTTCAGACATACGTAACACGTGACTCAACAATCTCAATTGTTGAAGATTTGCAACCCCATCAACTGAATCACCATCATTCCCTAATACCCTGCGTCTAACCTCACTATTACTTACCCAATGATCCCAGCAGACGCCAGCAATATTTCTAAGGCATCTGTGGTCAAATACTAGTAGCTTACGAATATCCTAAACTCTTAATGGCCATGTTTCGCTGCCGTAAATTAAAACAGAACGGACTACCGCACAGTATACTCGTCCTTTTATTGATAAACGGATATCTCGTCTTCGCCAAAGGTGACGTAAGTTGGCAAAAGCCAAACGAGCTTTTCGAATCCGTGCTGAGATTTCGTCCGATACCAGCCCATTAGGGCTGATCAGACTTCCAAGATAAGTGAAGTTGTCGACGGGTTCGACTACTTCACTCCCTATCCTTAGTTCAGGTGTTGATGCAGACCAGTCTTGAAGCAACAACTTGCATTTAGAGGGAGAGAAGCGCATTCCAAACATTATGGCATTGTTGCTTAGTGCTACCAAAAGACTCTGCATTTTGTCAGCGTCTTCACCAAACAGGACTATATCATCTGCGTATTCTAAGTCGATAAGTGGACCTCCTGGAAGGAGACCAATACCCGAGAATTCAGTCGACGAGGACGTTATTTCCATCAGTATATCTATGATGAAGTTGAACAGAAATGGAGATATTAGACAGCCTTGACGGACACCACTTGAGGTTGCAAAATCAGATGACAGTGCTCCATAAGCTCTGACTCGACTGGCAGTGTTCGAGTAAAGAGCCTTCACAAGGTTTAATATTGTTATTTCCATAGATTGTGAAAATTATGAATAACCAATAACAAAAACAACATATAGGAATAAGTAAACAGTGGCGTTCAATTTACACAAGAAAACTAAGAATACCATTTGATCGTTGAAAGAGGACATTCAGTTTGCGAATCACTGACTGGAAACTAAATGTCTAAATCGATGCGCCAAAGTTTTTTGTAGTTCGTAACAAGAGTTGAGAGTATGGAACACCAAATCTCACGTGATACAGTTGACAATTTAAAAAAGTTTTACAACATTCTCAATATCATTGGACTTGGTCAGATTGTCTAAAACCAGAGTATTTTTTCTGTTGTCAACTCGCTGCTTTTTAAATATCCTTTTCCTAACAAATTTTGTAATAATTACTTAGGTATGGATATCCCACAAGAGGTCAACCACAAACCAAATAGCTCAGGAGTAAAAAGTTTAACAGCGATACTGGGTGACGACTTCGAATCGCATGAGGAGTTCCCTGAAGATTGTAGATACCTCTGGTTAAAAAGTGTCAACCAGAATAACACCTAAGTTGGTAGTTGCATACAAATTTGTATAAACCATGTTACACAAATACAATATTGACCTCTAACAGTACACAATACAGACATTGCCAAAAGAAAACCACAGAAGGAACAACATAGAAATATGAACAAGAATAATAAAATGAACTATGCATCTAATTACCAAGTTTAACTGTAATGCCAATAGAAATATATTCAACCATATAACAGTATCTGGATCGAAATTTATATAAAATGGATTGATTTGACAAAACAATGAACATGGTAAAGCTGAAACAGAAATTGAAGATAATGAGAATAAGAACTCAATAAACAAAATCGGACGTGATGATGGATTGATAAAAATAACAGAAGTAACTGCGGTAATCTAATTGATAGTTATCTTTAAGAAACAGCCTATGAGACACGATTTTTAAACAGACTCCACAGAACGGTGATTGACTATATATATAATTACAGACATAAAGGGGTCATTGATGGTATTGAACAATAACTATATTTAAATTCAGAGCTCTGTGATGAAGTGAATATTTCAAAATATGTACCGTGTATTGTATTTAAAATAATTAAGTCTTGTAAATTACTCGTCAACTATCATATTAGAATCTAATATTGAGCAACTGGCATCAAGATTTGATCTCTCTGTCTCACCACTAATGTGAAATTTAATGGTACCCGGCTAATCAGCTGTAAACAATACAAGCATGGATAAGTCTTAGTTGCTACCATTTATATTAGCACAGTGATACGAAGTTAACAAAAGCGAAACAGTGATAATGGTAATAAGAGACTAAACTAAGCATACTAAACGAAACAAATGAATTCGAAATAATGAAAACGTATATAATAATATTTTATATTTAACAATTCGAGGAAGATAAAGAATGAATTAGTTAAACAGTAATGTGATAAATTTTGAGTAAGACTGCCCAGTCTACAACTACGGGTTAGAATTAGCTGGCGAAATTCAACTTGGACGTCTAAACCTCTCGATACTTCAATTAATGTATCTCATCTAACACATATGTACTCAGCTTTGAATAAGACTTTGTTTAGGGGCTAGTGGTGCTACCTAGTTACCTAAACCAAAGTAGATGGGATTGATTAAAGAGGTTAAATTCTCAAAAATATTGATACACTGCTCTTTATTCCTTGATTTTATACATCTGAGTCTCCGTTTTCTGTCACTAAATTTCCTCACACGAGTCGTCCATGACTAGAGACACTAGTTACTTATCAACCTTTTGATACGCTCACCGTTTATCGGTACTGACATGCTTAAATTGATATTCTTTGGCCTCCACTGTTAAATCTGCCCCATAAGATTTATCTTTTCGATTAGACAGAGATAGGAAGACTGAAAGAGAACTGTGGTATTCAATGTATTCTAATTAAGGCAAGGTGTTCCCACCGTGCATTTAAAGCACACCAGAGCTGAGTTCTTATTTGTGAACGATTGGTTAGCACCTGAATCCTTTGATCAATAACCCAATCCTTCTTTCACGTGATGAAATGGACCGGTTGCGAATGCATTCGGCTGTCAACCACAAAAATGATAGTTCACATCCACATGCCTCGACTTAGACTTCGATAACCAGCTAGCATCGCTAGCTTCTATCGAAAAATGTGGCTTGAAGCTGATTACACAAAGCTTTAATTATTTACTGAATTAAAATAAACACAGATGACATAAAACCACACAATGCAGTAAAACTGTGGCAACTTGAAATAATGCACAGATGTAATTGGTTATACGTTCTTCACATAATTAGGTGATTAACTAAACTTAGTAAAACCGTTTATTCGAATATACAATTATTCTTTAAATGATATAAATATCACAATGACAAATAAAGGGACTAGAATCATCCACAGAATTGGTTAAATTGCCTGTGAACTGTTATGTTAGGATACGATAGTAATTGTGTGTAACATAAAAGGGAAGAGCTTTCATCAGAGTGGCGCAAAAAATCGACAAAACAGATCGGAAATTCATAATAGCAAAATGTAACAAGTTCGAAATTTGAATGAAAAGAGTAATTCGTATAAATATGTAGCCATAATCAGTCTATCCACTCAACAGAAGCCGACTTTTCAAATTGAAATCAGATATAAGTTTATCAACCAACTGAATTCTCACAAGTCATAACAATTCTGATTCTACGTTTACAAGAAAAAAGGTCTCACAATGAGAACAAATTCTTTACACTACTACTAGTTTGGAATATAGCGATTCATGTTTCCAACTCCAACCAATTTGCGATATATAGTGAAGAGGAGCAAACGGGTTCGGTTTTAGGGAGCATCGTCTGAGAATACGGGAGCGATTAAAAAATCAAATGGTGGCTATTGAAAATTCTTTTCGACTAATCTAGGTCGAATTTTTGGGAATTACTACATTTTCCATCAATACCTAGTCGATAATTTGAAAGCAAAACACATCTGTACAACAATAACATGAAAACTTACATTGATTTGATGAACTTGAGCTTGGTGTATCATCTACACAATAATGATTTTTAAATTCAATGGTAAGAAATGATGATGTATCAGGTAGATTATGTAACAATTTATCTGATCCAATGAAAATATTCTTATCAATTGGAATTTCTGCTTTTATACGTGCATTATTATTATTATCGCGAAATGTTTTATTGATCTGTGAAGATTTTGAAAACGATGTAGATGGATCACCCGGTTTCAACACGGAATTCGGATAAGATACACATGATACAGTGATGTCAACTAATCGTAGAATACCAACACTTTGTAAAATTGATGTATTCACTGTCTGCAATAAACCACAATCCAATATAACAAATTGATTATCAGTAGAAACAGTTGGAGAATTTGTACTGAATACTCTACGACCACCATAGGTAAAATGTATAGGATTAATACCTCTTAACCAATTATCACGTGCACTGTAGAATTCTCGACAACCAGGCCAAGGTAATTCTGGTGAAACTTTAAGGCATAAAACAAAGACGATTCTGAGTAAAATATTTCGAAATGGTCTAAATTGCAATAGGATACCTGTCCGTGAAATCGTAACACATTTGCTTCTCAATGTATGCAATATCTATCGGTTTACCGTTCATTTAGCGAGCGAATGCAAGAATTAAGAAAATAATTTTCATAGGAGAATTAATTTTAAGCTCCAACTTGCGCTTTATTTGCATTTTTTATCCGGCAAGTTGGGATGCACTACAATGTCCTGTTCATAGAAAGTATATGCAGATAGCTTTAGATGATTGGTATTAAATCTCCGGTTAAATTTCTTACTTTTATACCGCAGTACTGACTTACAAAATGAATGCAGAAGTGGTTTTAAACGCTAGATATTGTACTTTTATTGAATGTTGAAAAATGTGTAGTTATTGTAATATACTAGATTTTGTATAAGGAAATAAATAGTAAATAAAGTATTTACCAATCAAATGTTTGCTATTGAATTGAGATCATGAACCGATTGATGTTAGCCCACCACCTTTGGAAACCTGGAAGCACTGGACGGCCGTTTCGTCCTATTGTGGGACTCCTCAGTAGTGCGCATTCACGATCCCGCTCGCGTGGTTCGAACCCAGGGCCTTCGGCCTCGCGCGCGAACGCTTAACCAACTGGACCACTGAGCCGGCATCCAATGGTGATAGTGTCTAACGTCAACCAATCCACGAAATCGCGCGACCAACTTCCGTTGTACTGAGGTAGATACCTGTCTTTACCCGACATGGATTAGCTCCACTGGTCACCACTCGGTTCATGATCTCAATCAAAAACTTAATAATCTCCACAAACCCTATACTAGTTTGCTATTTAATTGGTCGAGTTAATACCTAGTTCAGTTAGTTGAAATATCTCATAGTTCAGTAAACAATTTTCAATAACCTCAATTTTATCTTCCGATTTCAAAGTTATTAATACATAGAGCCGAGTTATGATTGGATTAGGTAGTGTTAAAAGTTGAAAAGGATGGAGACGGATTTTTATTCAAATATGTAGCCAATATGTCATTCGCAAGGTTGAAAGATTATGCAAGAACTAAGGCAGTAAATTCTTAATTTTGCATATACTTAAACCTCAACTGAAGTGAAATTGACTACGATGAATATATGACATTTGCTCTATCATGCACGCGCCTTAATACTGACCAATGTGTTGTAATAATTATGAATTCATAAGCATTGAGTTGGAAGATGGAATTATTGGAAACAATTAGAAAAATATACTTTGTTTTTAAATATTCTGTTATGTCCCGACAAGAATAATAAATGGTAACTTTTGGGATCTATTGATGGACCAATACTAAACGTATATTTTTTATCGTATAATTGTTAAATAATCAAACTATTCATATTCATATTCCTCCTATTACAAGCTTTATTTTGACCCACAAACTATTATTATACGTTTTACCATTCTTGAGTTATACCCAGTATATTAATTACTATTTCCCTCATTCATAGCCACATCTGGCTAATTCTTGTACAAATGTTGTTTCATATTTCTTTGGTACGTTGTGGTCTGTTTGATTGGTACATAAACTCAGTACGTTTGAAATATAATGATTCATATTGCAGAGGCTGAGACTGGTGTTCTGGACCCAACTGGCTGGGCTAGGCGGGAAGCAGGACCAATCAGGACTATTGGCTGCTCGCACGTGTTTTACGCGTCATGGATCCGATCAATAAGTCACTGCACATTAATCATCGGTCACAAGTCATAACATATTCTATGAGAATTTTTAAGTTACATTTATCTCTTACCGTAATTCAGGTTTGTGTACTCTCTGTTGTGATGCACTTGTGTGTGAGTACGATAGCTAATTAACTGTTAAATGAAATTTTGAGTCTAAAATCAAAAGGTTGAACATCAACTAAGATTTTGTTGGACATTAGCTAGTCTAAGAGTTGGTTGGAAGTTTATAAAATCAAGGCAATGATAATAAAATAATTTATAGCTTATAGGTGAAAGCTGGTGATATTATAAAATTGATTATTATAGTCTGAGATTATTGAGATAACAGAAGTTGTCGACTTATTCGTACATCATCCTGTGTTATCACAGTAGACAGTGATCTACCTACATATAAATTCTATCACATTTTATTTATTATATATTAATTACTTCCAAATTCTGTTAGCTTACTCTAATATCCTTACTACTTTAATTTTTATACTATTACTGATATTGCCATTTTTGTGACTTTTACATTTATTGTTAACCATTCATCAAGTACAGACTAATGTACTCGACTTCAGGTCACACTCTAGGTGTGTAAGAGAAAATTGTAATATCCGACTGCCTAAACGGAATTAAGTGAGATGGGACTCAAACATGTGACCTGTCGGTTGAAGACCAAATGTATTGACCAACAAGACATTGTTTCACACTCTCATGCTAATGTAGCGTGGTAACAGTTAGACAAACGTTTTATATTTTAAAAGTTGGGAATCATATAGTTGTAAGTGGATTTTTCCCCGAACATTCAAATCTCTCATATGTATAGCAACATCACCGCTTGGAGTACCTCAGGGGGCTACTGCCGGTCCCAAACCGGATAAAGGAGGAGAGTTGGGCAAGAGGTTAGCGACCCCACCATGTAGAAAAATAACTCGCTAAAAAACGCTAACCAGAAAAAATTATTCGAACCTTTTAAGCTCTGCCCTGGGAGTCAGAAGCTCTTCTTTAGAAGATTTATGACGCCTCATGATGAAAGCCGAATCCCTTCGGAAGTTACGAGGCCGATGCCCCTTCTGACAACCAGAGCGACCATTTATTTAGGTACATGGAATGTTCGTACAATGTGAGAGACTGGGAGAGTCTTCCAAATTGCTGCAGAAATGAGGAGATACAACCTAGAGGTGCTTGGGATAAGTGAAACACATTAGACGCAAGTTGGACAACAACGACTAGCTTCAGGAGAGTTTCTGTTATACTCCGGCCATGAAGAAGAAAATGCTCCACATACACAAGGAGTTGCATTGATGCTGCCCAAACAAGCACAAAATGCACTTATAGGATGGGAATCTCATGGACCAAGGATCATCAAAGCCTCCTTCAAAACAAAGAAAGAGGGCATTTCAATGAACATCATCCAATGCTATGCGCCTACCAACGACCACAATGAAGACGCTAAAGATCAATTCTACAATAGGCTGCAGTCAATCATCGAGAAGTGCCCAACAAAGGACCTGACCATTCTGATGAGAGATTTCAATGCCAAGGTTGGAACGGACAACACTGGATATGAAGACATCATGGGACGACACGGACTGGGAGAAAGGAACGAAAATGGTGAGAGATTTGCAAACCTATGTGTCTTCAATAAACTGGTCATAGGCGGCACCATATTCCCACATAAACGCATACACAAAACCACATGGACTTCACCGGATCACACTACACAGAACCAAATCGACCACATCTGCATCAACAAAAAGTTCAGGAGGATGATGGAGGACGTGCGAACCAAGAGAGGAGTTGATATAGCATCAGATCATCACTTGCTGGTTGCCAAGATGAAATTGAAACTCAAGAAGCACTGGACAACGGGGAGGACAATATCACAAAAGTTCAATACAGCCTTTCTTCAGGATACTGACAAACTCAACAAATTCAAGATAGTCCTCAGCAATAGATTCCAGGCCTTTCATGATCTACTCAATAGAGAAGGAACTACTATAGAGAGCGACTGGAATGGGATCAAAGAGGCAATCACTTCAATATGCCATGAGGTTCTGGGTCACAAGAAGCACCATCACAAGGAATGGATCACTGTTGATACACTTGGTAAGATTCAAGAAAGGAGGAACAAGAAAGCAGCAATCATTACCAGTCGAACAAGAGCAGAAAAAGCCAAGGCACAAGCTGAATACACAGAAGTTAACAAACAAGTGAAGAGGAGCATCAGAACCGACAAACGTAAATATGTGGAAGATTTAGCAACGGCGGCGGAAAAGGCTGGAAGAGAAGGAAACATGAGACAATTGTATGACACGACAAAAAAACTCTCTGGAAATCGCCGCAAACCAGAACGACCAGTGAAAAGCAAGGAAGACAAGGTAATCACCAACATTGAAGAGCAACAAAACAGGAGGGTAGAACACTTCAAAGAACACTTGAATCCACCAGCTCCACTGAACCCACCCAACATCGAAGCAGCACCCACGGACCTCCCAATCAATGTTGGCCCACCAACAATTGAAGAAATCAGCATGGCCATCAGACGAATCAAGAGCGGCAAAGCAGCAGGACCGGACAACATACCAGCAGAGGCACTAAAAGCGGACGTAGCGGCAACTGCAAGGACACTCCACATTCTCTTCAATAAGATTTTGGATGAGGAACAAGTATCAAAAGACTGGAAAGAAGGAGTTCTGATAAAAATACCGAAGAAAGGCGATCTCAGCAAGTGTGATAACTACAGGGGCATCACTCTTCTCTCAATACCGGGAAAAGTCTTCAACAGGGTATTGTTAAACAGGATGAAGGACTGCGTAGACGTCCAACTTCGTGACCAACACGCAGGATTCCGTAAGGATAGATCATGTACAGACCAAATCGCAACTCTACGTATCATTGTGCAACAATCAATTGAATGGAGTTCATCACTCTACATCAACTTCATTGACTACGAAAAGGCATTTGATAGCGTGGACAGAACAACACTATGGAAACTTCTTCGACACTACGGCGTGCCTCAGAAGATAGTCAATATCATACAGAGTTCATAGGATGGATTCAACTGCAAAATCGTGCATGGAGGACAGTTCACAAAGTTGTTCGAAGTAAAGGCCGGTGTTAGGCAAGGTTGCTAACTCACACCCTTTCTCTTTCTCCTGGTGATCGCCTGGATCATGAAGACGTCAACATCTGAAGGGAAGCACGGGATACAATGGACATCTAAGAGGCAGTTGGATGATCTAGACCTCACAGATGATCTGGTCCTTCTATCCCAAACGCAACAACAAATGGAGGAAAAGACGAACAGTGTGGCAGCAGCCTCAGCAGCAATAGGTCTCAATATACACAAAGGGAAAAGCAGGATTCTCCGATACAACACAGAATGCACCAATCCAATCACAATTGACGGAGAAGATTTGGAAGATGTAAAAACCTTTACGTATTTGGGCAGCATCATTGATGAACAGGGTGGATCTGATGCAGATGTGAAGGCGCGGATCGGCAAAGCAAGAGCAGCATATTTACAACTGAAGAACATCTGGAACTCAAAGCAACTGTCAACCAACACCAAGGTCGGGATTTTCAATACAAATGTCAAGACAGTTCTACTGTATGGGGCAGAAACCTGGAGAACTACGAAAGCCATCATCCAGAAAATACAGGTGTTTATTAACAATTGTCTACGCAAAATACCTCAGATCCATTGGCCGGAAACTATTAGCAACAACGTACTGTGGGAGAGAACAAACCAGATCCCAGTGGAGGAAGAAATCAGGAAGAAGCGCTGGAAGTGGATAGGACACACAATGAGGAAACCATCCAACTGTATCACAAGACAAGCCCCCACATGGAATCATCAAGGCCAAGGGAAAAGAAGAAGACCAAAGAACACATTACGCCGGGAAATGGAGATAGACATGAAAAAATAAACAAGAATTGGATGGAACTAGAAAAGAAGGCCCAGAACAGAGTGAGTTGGAGAATGCTGGTCGGCGGCCTATACTCTATTAGGAGTAACAGGTATAAGTAAGTAAGTAATCACCGGTTTTTTCCTTATTTTACAGATATTCATTCAGTAAAACATTGAGAAGTATGAAGCTACTAATAGAATATTACTAAGCCAGATTATAAATTATCCTCTCCCTTTCTCTCAATCTATCTACAAAAACAATGCATTGTTATTATGTTAACCTCATCGAAAAATCACGAAAACAAGATATAATTTTAACGAAACACAAAAATAAGTCATTTTAAGGCATAATGTAATATAAAAATAAAAAACACAAAGAAAATGAACGTACATTCTAAATGATATGGATACCAATCTACAGATAATGTGGTTAAATTAACTCGCATTGATCCATTCGGCACAATGTTTGGATTGAGTCGAATTTCTAAGAAGAAAGTAAAATGAATGAAAATCTGGCTGATTTATGATAAATAAAAAAACTGAACGAATAATAACAGTTTGAAGTATTAAAAATTATGATTCTGGAGAAGCAATATAATTAAATTTTATAGGAATGGTAAAGGATGGTTTGTTAAACTTGGGAAGACATTTGTACTTCGATGACGAGATTAACAATTTAGTGGTAGATGGTTCGCACCAATCTATAGAAAAACCTTGAATATAAGTTTCATCCTGGTTGGAGCATGTACGCAAGACATACCTGTAATCTTGACGAGATTGACGCTTCCGTGAGATTTGGAACCTTTGTGATCTAGTGCTCACAATTGATTGATCACTGGGTGGTGATCAATGTCATGCTTGTCTAGTCCTTATTAGTGCAGATCGAATGCTATCGATCATGTTGCAATGTGGCCAACAGTGTAGGTGACTCGACACTGCGGGCACTATGTATTGAGATTTAGATGGTGGTTGGAGGTAGTCAACAGGAAACCCTGGACTCGGGTTTCGTGCTACTTGGCACTCGTCAGCAAGGTGTACCTGTAATCTTGAGGGAACTGATGCTCCCTGGCGGATTCGATCTCGTGTCACCCAGCTTCACAGTCAGAGACGTTACCACTGAGCTATCCGAGCCGTGACTAACCTCCTGTAGGACTGAGATGTAATCACAATTGATTGATCAGTTCTGCATTCAACTTTGAGCTACACTGTTTGTGAAGAGGACTGCAGCTCTGTACGACTACCAAAAAAAGTAAAAACAGGTAACACTTAAAACCTTTATAAAACAGGTCACAAGTCAAATTTCTTAACCCAATTCTATACAGGTGGTACACACGCCGTATTTTTACGTAATGACAAGCGGTTAAAGGAGTAACTTACAACTCATTTACTAGAAATTAATTTACTAACTTTCTTTAGTTTCATCACAAAAGTTCAATTCTGTCCGATTAACAATCAAATGATAGGATGTTTCCAAAACATCATATTGATGAAACATATTCACAGCATTTGCATAATCCCATGTACATTTGGTATTTCGTACTACTACCGTGGGGTAAATATTACTATTAGTAGTATAGTTAGTATTACTACCATTATTATTGTTACTGTAACTATTATTCACCAAAGACTGAGTTTCTGATGATGAAACCAAAGTGACGGTTTGTCGCTAAATTAAAAGAAACAAGTAAAAAGGTCAAAAAGCTTAACGACACTACTTATTATAACAATAAGAATTTATTAGACCAATAAGTTTCTCAATAAAATACCTGTACTGGTTAATAACACTGTGGTGTATGCTACTTATGTCGACAGACAAAAGTGGTATGTAACATCAATCAGAAGTGAAATGCATGACAACAGAAAGCTAAGAAGATTGAATTAAAGAAAACAGAAAGGGAAATAGGAAGGCATTGTGAATTGGAACAATCATACAGAATGTAAAGAACAGTTGATTGGATATTTGCAAATGAAGTATTTTATGTATGGTTCTTATATTTTACCAAGATACTTTGTAACTTTGTGTTAAAATACATTGGTTGTCCCCACCTGTATTCTCGTTCATTACTTATTTGCAAACTTTTCATCATAATAACTTGATTCGAAATCTAATTACATGACCTATCTAATTTACAAATAACTCAATTTTGAAGTACTTATTTGGTAACAGATGCAAACGTTGACCATTTTTAACATATAACATTCTCAAATTTATTGACAACTGCCTTATTTTAGCGTTTACAAAATATCATAATTATGGACTTATAACTGTAGAGTCTAATGATGAAGTTATTAAAAACAACTGTTCGCTCTAATATTCTTTATTTTTGAATACCCTATGGAGATTTTTAAACTGCTAATTATAACTATTTTACGTATTTTGTTGCTCTTTTTCAATGTAGTACTGTGATACAAAAAAAGAAAAAAACACAATATCAATCCTTATTACGTTAACATTTGTTTTAATATTTACCACTTATCTTTTGATTACTTAGCAGAAGGTTAATATCATACAATTGGTTCCCTTTATGAGTTTGAATAAAGGCAAAACAGAAACCGAGGCAAACGGTTAATAGTTACCATTATTGTTATATTTGTGCAGAAATCGATAAATGTGGAGAGAAACAACTTTAGTTGTTGGATGTATTGTTATCTTAATAGTTGAAAAAAAGTAGGTTTTCAGCTAATAGTTAGCAAGATGAAATACAGTTACAGCTTAAGTAATCATATTGTAATATTAAATTGCAAAGAAAAAAAGTTGTAGACATAAACTCTGTAAATGACACTTGAGTAGGAAGGAGATTTTTAAAGGGGATAGAACATTGATAAGATTTGTACGAGCCTGAATCGATTGAGGAGATAAACACAAGTATTAAGCATATCTCATAAACACCGCCCACCCTGATACACAATGCTGGCTGGTATAGGGGTATATATATATATATATATATATATATATATATATATATATATATATATATATATATAACTGTGATGCTGCAGATTAGAGGGTAGCGAATTATTGGTCGGACCAAAGGCGCGCAAACACGTAAGAACGACCTAGGGTTCTGATTGGTCCCGCTTCCCTTTCTAGCCCAGCCAGTTGAGTCCAGAACACAAGTCTCAGCCTCGGATATATGAATCGCTATATTTCAAACATACTCTGTTTATATATCAATCAGGCAGACCACATCGTACCATAAAATAGAAAATAACATTGTACAATATTGGCCAACAGGAAAATGACACGTTAAATAAATATTGACCAATAAGATGATACCATTTCATGTCCAAGGATAGCATTAGGCTTAACAGGATAATTTTCGGGATATTTTCCTGAATATCCCAATATGTATATTCAGTATTAGTCCAATTTGGTAAGTAAACAGATAGGAGATTCGATTCATAATAATACAGTTTACATTTATATAAAATGTATTCATAATGTTATATCTCTACAAAACAATTACTGACTAATTGTTCAGTGTATTTAAATGTTCCATTAGTTAGTGATAATCCAATAATTATCACGTAGGACTTGTTTCATTAAGTTGGACGCCAAATTGGCGCTCTGAACATAGGTAATCTTAGATTATTTTAATTAGTTTTATCTCGTACTTTTTTGTTCAGTTTTCTCTGTTGTAAACTTCATCTGTGCCCATAAGATCGCTCACTCTAAATGTTAATCGAATATGATTCCATCATAGAACCTGGTTTCCTAAACTCAGTAATAATAACAGTCAATTAAGGCAATCGAAATGAACTGATAGTTAAGAAAAAATTAATTTTTAAATCCACTACATTTTACATACTAACCTTAGCTTTCTCTGCTGCGAATCGTTTACTCTGTTCATTGGCTAAACGTATTGAATGTTCTAAAGAACGTGCAAATACAATGGCTGCCTCAACTTGAGATAATGTGAATACCCAAAGTATATCGTCTAGTATAAGACGAATACGTGAGCTAATCAGCGACCCATCTACGTGGGTAGGGTGAAGGAAGTAGGGAACAAAAATTAGAACAGAAATACTTAGAATTTGTGCAGAAAATAAGCTTTTTTAGTCATACACTGAAAATATATCGTTTCATCAATGTACTATAGGAGATACGCGCCATGATTAATTAAATAATCACGAAAAGTGTTGTCTAAGGCCAATAATTTACCGGTGAAGCCCACCACACACGTACAAAAGTGGAAGTAAATTCCAAAGATTGTGTTTATATTATTTCTTAATGAAGTTCATCAAACTCAGAAATAGTTACATTTATCTCAGCAATGTCTGTACGAAGTTCTTAAGCTTCAACTATGTTTATAGCCACTAGAATTACATGGTTCTTTTTACTTAACATTAGCCATCAAGTAACTTCATCTGGACCCCTCTGGGTTAAACTCGGTCCCAAGCCTCGATAGAATTAGCAAACCCCCTTGTAGGAAAGGACCTCCCTAACCAGAATGAATCAATTAATTCATCCAAACTCAGCCATGGAAATTGGAGGGTCTTCATACAGAAGAGTTATGACGTCTCATAATGAAAGCCGACATCCTTCCGAAGCTGCGAGGGCGACGACACTTCTGAAAATTAAAGTAACAATTGATATAGGCACTTGGAATATCAGGGCAGTGTGGGAGACCAGGAGGGTCAGTCGAATGGGAACGGAAGGGGAAAGACACAACCAATTCTCTCAAATATACGGATGAGTTTGGAGGATTCTAGTGAACCAGCTTGACCCGAATTAACGAGATGTCCCTAGATTGAACTATTGACTAACTTATGTAGTCCTTTTGATAGCACTTAGACTTTTATTTCGTAGATGATTCACACTGAATTTTGTAACTGATATACCTCACAAGCTAGAACAGATCACACGCTGCCTGAATCCCACATGGCAGATAGGATGCAACCGTTGGATTACTCGCCTAGACTAGGTCACCGTTTACATGTTCTTGTTTGGGATCATCCATTCGGTAAATCTTCTGACAGATCTTACAAGCAACATTTTAAGTATAGTTCGAACCAAAAATCCATTGCGACAGGTTTTTTAGACTATCAGTCATCGCCTATCTATGCTAATTAATTTGAAAATAGTTTCGGAAGAGCTTAAAAAGTTACCAGATCAATATATGGTTTCAGTTCAAAAAGTTATTACCTGTTTACTTGAGACATGTATGGAAGTGAGAACTTCTTGGTTGGGTTAAACGAGATAATTCCCAGTTATGATTGGAGACTATATTATTCAAAATTGATTGTAATCAATTAAATGCATCATTTTTCATTCTTCCTTTAAACATTTACAGACATAACATTCCATATTTAACATTCTGGAAATTCATATATTTTATGTTCTCGCTACTGACGTATTGATTTTACATGTGAAAAGATAGAATCGTATATGTTTGTGCCATCAAGAGCTGATAAACCTTAATTCACTTACAGTATTAAAACATAACATGTTACATACTTTATTTATGATCATTACTTTTTATTTGACCTTCGATTGTTTTCAAAGAAAATGTAATGTGTGGCTAGTGTTCAAAATGGATTACGCAAATAAATCATACTTCCTAAATCAATTTCGTCTTATCATTATACTATGGAACATAGTACAGCCGACTAATGACAGTTTATTTTCAATTCACACATGCAACATCTTAAAAAGCAAGTGAGATGACAGTCTTAATCACAGAAACGAAAACCAAAAGTCTGTTCTACCATTGTACACGTAGTTTTTAGTTATACATACAACTTACCTGACCGAGAATAAAAGGAAGAGAGATTTTAAGTAGCAACGCAACTGTTGGATCACTAATGTGGGACTTCAGTCAAACTTTTACAAAATGTCATCTGAGGAAATTTATGACAAGCCAAACATATCTAAATAGCCATGTAAGGTCACATGATATGATACGGTTGTTTGTTAAACCAGATAAATGTATGTAGGAGTTGTGAAGCTTAACTAAACTATGACCCTAATCAAGGTCACTCCTCGCAGATTCACTATTTAGTTTAGTCTGAATACCTATGAATAAACATTACTATGATGAATTCACTTGATATTGTTTTATTTGAATCTTCCCATTGATGTTTTTGGACTGAAATTGATCAGTCTCTTATTGGCATATGTGCATACTGTGCGTATGCCTCGATATTGCCTTAATTTACAAGCATTGTAAGCAGAGATGGATAGTGGCTAGTAGTGGAATCCAGGACGCGCGTTTCGTCCTGTTTTGGGACTCGTCAGCTGGATGTACCTGCATCTCAGAGTTGATGTTCACTCTGGGACTCGAACTCAGTACCGTTCGCTTCAAACGCCATTACTATGATGAGTATATATATATATAACATTGATTGCATGTCTAGTTAGGTGAGTTACTGTCTGAAAACAGTTTTATCATTATAACTACAAATTTCGTTTTCATTATGTTGGTGTGTGTAAGGGAATATGGTTATCGAGGTATAAGTATAAATAAACTTTTCACGTCTTACACAGTTTGCCATCTTTATTTATTTAATGATCACGCAACAATTCAGTATTGAGTTGAAACACAGAAACATATTTAAACATTCAAAAATGAGCGTACTTTTAAGACAGCTATTTTAACATACCACACTCAAACAAAATTCAGAATTTCGAAAAATCTGCGTCAAAAGTGAGAGATTATAAATTACACTTTTAGGTTATCAATGTATTAACTAACGTGAAGGTTACTGGAAAATATCATTCAGACTTATTTGCTTAGAACTTTCAGGTGTTCAAATAATCAGATATACAATCAGATTGAATTATTAAACTGAAGCAAAACGACGACAAAATAGTTATATCTTCGGAAAAAAGAATGAGAGGTGGTATTTTCGTACAGATAAAATGATAGACACTTTAAAATCCTGGGACTGTTTCTAGTAATAAAAGATTCTCGACAATTTTGAGCGATGAACATTGTACTGTTGAAAATATACATATTAATTAGTGTAGATTTCTTAAGCATTAAAAAAATATTTCCGTGCTGTCAATAATCAATAATGTTCTACAAAAAAGACCTTGAAATTTAGCATAAATTGTTTTTTACACGATTTCATTGGCGAATAATTGCAGCTAATCAACAGAGAAATTTCGCTCGAAACCTTTGACAGATCACACTTGTTTGTTATGACCTAACTTTCGTAACTGGATAAAAGCTTTTACGAAGTTGACTAGGTGACCTGATTTTTAACCTACAGATGTGAGTCTAAACAAAATGAAATATAACCAAATTGTCAGTTCATACGGAAAACGTCAACCAATTACATGGTTGGAGGTCAACAAAACAACAGGAAATGGCAACAAGAAGACAGAGAAATATAAAAACAGATGAAGACACCACGTTAAGAGTGAGGTCATCAGTATGAACTGACTTAACACATGTGAAATGGTCAAGATATTCACTTCTACTTTAAGTCAGCGCTAATGATAATGTACAGAGCCATAATGAAATCTTTGAAATTAAACCATCTTGCTCAGAAAACTCGGCATCGCCAAAAATAAGAACAATTTTACGTTGCCGCGAGAATAATGTCGGTAATTCTGAAATTCTGTATTTGTTTTAACAAATGACTATAACTAAAGTATAAGAAATATCTATAGCCAAAAATAATTAAGCTTACCAGATAACCGCTTTTTCATTGTTAAACGCACACGAGATTGGTTTGTTATAAGTCTAACTGGTGTACCATGCAGTTCAGTTAGTAGACCATCGGCCACAATACGTGCTGATTCCCAAGAGACTTCCTTGAATATCAATATGGAATCATATTGTGGCATTGTCAGAGTGCTTAAATTTAACAAACAATTTTGCCAGTTCGGTGATTTACTCAGCACACAAAACCTGGACAACTAAAGGAAACCAATTGAAAGAATGGTACAATAAACTATGCGAAGACTGTATTTATTTCACAACTAAAGAAAATAAATAAATATTTTGTGACTCTAACAGCAGCCTAAATAGAAAGGTTATGTTGGCTGAGGTACGGGTAGGTTGGTAGAAATCTAAGAGCAGCTAAAACAAAACATGGAATTAGTTTGTAAAGACATTAACAGTTGATATGAGCTATGTTGTTAGGTGCAAGCTACCTGGTTAGGACTCATGTAATCGTCATAAATGACAGTTAGAAACTTTGGGCTGCATTGCTTGAAATTCGTCGCAATGGTGCAGATGGACTCACTCTTTATCTCCTGTTTGATTCTGAGTTTCAAAAATTATTGAATAATTTTTACCTTTGGAATTCATTTGTTCATCTTGAATTTTATCCTCCACGTGTACTGTTTTATGTTATCACTGATACTACCACTACAACTCCTACTAACTTGGTATTCATCTTGGCAATTTCATTTCATTTTGCTGATGTGGTGTAGCAATGTGAACTGATCTATATATGCGCAAGGTTCTACGCTATTTATGATTAAAGTTATTATTAGGGTTTGAAACAGACGACTGATATTTGTGCACAACATATCCCTTAACCGTCTTGGTTGATAGAAGCAAACTACATCATTCAATAGCCAAGATCCCCCACCTAAAAAATATTTTACTCTTAGATTTTATGTTCTTTAGGCAGTAATTTAATCTGGTGAAATCAGTTCTATAATTGTACTATTGATCATCACACATACCTCATAGCTAGGAGGTCAAACATAGCCCCTTATATCTTATACATGAGTATAAGGGAACAATAAACTCAACAGTACAGGTATTAGAAATTAGAGAATGACAAATTACAACAAAATTTCGTTCATAAAATATACACACTGGTGAATACAGCTTTTAAAAAAATGAAAGGTCATATACAGATATCAAAATAATCAGGGGACATAAATTTTTACTTCGGAAATCTTTAACTAAATCACAAAAAGAAGCTCGAAACAGGATTTAAAAATACTTAAAAACCACCTTTTTGTGCACAGCAATACGAATAACGTGGATAATAAAGTAACACAACACAATTCGGGAGCTAAATACAGGTTGGAGTGCATCAGGGAGTGACAAAACGGTTAGTAATACAACAAACAAAAGTTTATGGTGTATGTCTTGATCACTCAGCTTGGATAGAAGAAATCAATAGACTTATCATACTATGATGACACAATACAAAGCGGATTTATAAACTGAAATCGATTTTCATTATTCTACTCCTAATGTGAATCAATTCGCATAACAGATACAGGTTTGTTTACTGAGCTTCGAGTCACACTTCAGTTGTATTAGCAGTACTGACCAAAAAATTAAACAGAAGGTGAGGCCAGGCTTGAGAGTGCAGCTCAGTGGTTTAAAGTCAAGTGCTTCAACCAACAAACAACCACCCTATAATACCATGACTATGATATCACTACTTGTTTTTTGCCACATGACTATGTAACGCTATCGCGACGGATGTATGTAAAATTAGTCAATTCTTCATCAATCACACCTATGTATCGATCTATGTCTAAATAACGAATATTATTTTGAGTATACTTCGAAACACATGACATACAGAAAACCACTATGGAAAAATATAATTTGCCAATTATCAAGAGCATTTTTAAAGAAGACATACTTCAACTGAGCCCTGAAAAGCTTGAGCGAAGAACTCAATAAACACTGAGTTCACTTGAATAGTAACTCCATCAATTACTTTATCACTGAACCCATATTTGCCAGATCCGCCTCTGTGATAGGGATAGAAACGTTCATTCAGATTTTATCAAAAAACAAACCTATAATTAGCTATAGGCGATTGTGAAGCTGGACGTGGTTCATTGAGCGCTTGTAATTCAATATTTACAAGATCAATACTCTTGATCAACGAGTAATTTTTCATGATAATAAAATGTGAGATTAATATGAATGCTTACAATGAAAACAGGATGAGTTTTTAACTTTGTCCAGTGTATCTAAAAAGAACGTTTTATTTGCTATTCGTGACACAAAATGGAGAACTTACTTTAGCTACAACATTTGTACAATATGCTTTACGTAAAAGTAACCAAGTTGGCAGATCAAGAAGCTCCATTAAAGCATTTTCTTCTAATTCTAGTGTTTCCAACTCCAAAACACCTTTTAATAAACTCATATGAAGTTTATTTGAAGAAAGGTTTTTCGTAAACCTGAAGTTGAATTTTTGATCAGTAGGTATAAAGAAAGCCCATTAAAGATGAGTAATAGGACAAAAACGGATTTGTTTACTTCAAACACAAATTGACATCAATAGGAAAATATTAATAATTATGAAACTCTGAACCGTTATATAGTTATCTTCACTGTTTGTCAGCATAAATCTACCGGTCCAAGGATCTCAAAAATATTATCATTCAAGGCACCAAATCAGGATTTCGTGATTCACATTATCGTACAATAACGCTGATGAGTACATATTGTTTTTCAACTGCAATGATTATACAGATTGGTATATAATGGAATATCACTCAACGAATTGGTTCGAAGGATTTGTCTGATTTAAGCGTAGTTTTTATCTGATAACACTTAAAATGCGACCAGCCACACGAGAGAACATGAAAGCTGTTTGCTTAAAATGTGTGATAAAATAAAGCGGGTAGTGCTATCAACATCAAAGCTGAACCTTGAACAAATGGACATCAATCGAAATTGACACACTTCATATTGAGACATCGGGAAGAAATTAACCAGATGTATAGCAAGGAATCAAAATGACGGTGAATTAATTGGTAACAAGAACGTAAACAAACAATATAGTTCAAGGACTATAAGATATGAAATAATATCGACACCTGAAATTAATTAGATAGAAAATAGATACATCTACATCACCAATCATTTCTTGATGCAGTACAGTCTTATAACAATAAAGTAATCCAAAGACCTCCGAGTTTGGGTTTTTAAGTCATTTTTGGCATTTAACGTATCCATCCCTTGGAAATACCAAGATGCAACTAAGTAGCTCTCCAAAATTAATCGGTTGTCAATGGTATTTTAGATGGCAACAATCCTTTATGAAAACTATTTTCAGAATAAGGAACTACGATTTAACGATGTGAGTGGAACAATGGATCATATCTACATTACTATCTAATAGTCTGAGATTCGAAACAAGTAAATTTCACTCTAGATAACTAGGTTTGAAATCCTTAAGTACTGGTGAACGCGTAGACAATTGAATGCTTACATACACAACACCACATACAGAAATATCTACTAAATCCCATTTAGTGAGATTTTTATGAGAAACACCTACACATGAGTTACGACACGAGACATCTATATTACTAGTATATCATCTAAAAAGTGTGAAGAACAACAGGCTCTCTGTTTTTTACCTGAAAAATATTGCGGATTGTTCAAGAGACCGTAACCGAATTTATTCGAAATCCTCCAAAAATATACAAGATGTAGTCTATCTCTGAATGTCCAAAACATCCCCCATCAACTTCTTTTTAAATTTACTTTCGATTTGACATTTAAAACTATTACTCTGAATGATTCGCTACATTTTAAGGATTCTATATGATAAAAAGCAATGATTAAGGTTATCGATCGGTAAGATGTGATCACCAATTGACTAAAATTTGGTAGTTTTGAAAAAATATGTTATTTATTACTTGAGCATGATATTCTACCATATTCTGATAGTGTTATCATGTATTTCGTCCAATTTTGAGATGAATTTATCAAAAAGTTCATTTTACGCAGTGATTATCTGATTATAATTATTGATTGTCAAGAAGATAGTCTGAAAAATATTCTGTTTTTTTGTACTAGACGTACTTCTTCCCAAACCGGTTTGTTTCCTTACCACTTGAAGGCTGAAACGATAATATTGGACACATAATGTTGACGCCAAATCGCAGCTTTCGATGACTGCCTTGATTCATTACGTTTACTACGGTGTTGATAATTTAGAATCGGGCAGCCAAGTACACTTTACAACACTTTGAACCTTTACGTCAAAATAACATTTGAAGTCTCCAGTTTACCAATAAAAGTTATAAATGGTTTTTCTAAATACGGCCCAGCTACTCTTATTGTTTAGCATTCATACATTTCATTTCACTCGATAAGTCTCCAAAACAGAACATGGTTGAACAGGAACGTAATTACAGTTCAAATAAACAAAGGTGAATGGAAGTAGAAAACACAATAATAAAAACATTAGTATATTATTAATTTTACACAACAAGATTCTAGAGTCTTCTCCGCGTATCCGCTAGCTCTGGTTAACAAATGGCCGATTAGCGTGCTCCAGTCAGTAAAAACGTGGAATTTCGTACGTACGTACATCATTTCGAATTGCCACACCACATTAGCACAGAGATACAGTGGTCGATTCAAATCCCGTAGTGGTAGAGGTAATAAGAGTATAAGCAGTAATCGGAAAGATTAGGGTTTGGAGATGTTATTCAAGGAGTATGATACAGTGAAATAAATTTGGGAAGAGAAGAAAGAAAGGGACATGAAGAATTCAGAAGATTAAAATTTGGGAGAACACAAAGTGGATGCACCCGCGCACACCATTGCAAACGATTTTGAGCCATGTCATTCAGGGTATCTAACCATCGGTTTCTATCATATCGCGGTCCCCAATCAGGTAGTCTACACCTGCCAACATGACTCAGTCCATTTGTCAGTGACTTCATGGACTTGTGCCATGTTTTGGTCTGGCCGCACCTAGCTTTCTTCCAATCTACTCCTATACCACTGAACATCGCACGTCGAGGAAGTCGTTCGTTGGGCATACGTAACACGTGTCCCAGCCATCTCAACTGATGAAGTTTCACTACCTCATCAATTTCTTTGTCATCCTTACCTAGTACCCGTTTCCTAACAACTGTATTACTTACTCGATGGTCCCAGGATATACAAGCAATGTTTCGAAGACATCTATGATCAAATACTAGTAACCTACGAATATCCTCTACTCTTACTGGCCATGTTTCATTGACATAAAGTAGGAAGGAACGAACTACTGCACAGTAAACACGTCCTTTGGTTGATAGACGGATATCTCTCCTACGCCATAAGTGACGCAAGTTGGAAAAAGCTAGTCGAGCTTTCTGTATCCGTGCTGAGATTTCGTCACATACCAGACCACAAGGGCTGATGAGGCTCCCAAAATAAGTGAAGCGGTCGACACGCTCAACTACTTCACTCCCTATCACTAGTTCGAGTGTCGATGCAACCCAATCCTGAAGCAACATTTTGCATTTCGAGGGGAGAATCGCATCCGGAACATGCTTGCATTGTTGCTTAGAGTGGTCAGAAGACTGCATTTTGTCAGCGTTTCCACCAAATAGAACGACGTCATCGGCATATTCTAAGTCAACAAGTGAATCTCCCGGTAGAAGTCTAACCCCTCGAAATTTAGGTGAGGAAAGTGTTATCTCTAAAAGCACGTCAACGACAAAGTTGAACAAGAATGGAGAGAGTGAACAGCCCTGGAGAACACCACTTGAGGTAATCAATTCTGATGACAGTTCGCCATAAGCTCTCACTCGACCAGTTGTGTTCGAGTAGAGAGCTTTTACAAGGTTAATGTGCTTTTTTGGTACTCCTTTCAGTGACAAACACTGCCATAGAACCTCACGATCAACAGAGTCGAATGCCTCCTTAAGGTCGAGAAATACTATGATTGTGGGGCATCTGAATGTGTGTCTATGTTCTAGGACCTGATGTAGTGTGAATATCTGGTCTATACAGCCACGTCCAGGTCGAAAACCAGCCTGGTTTCTTCTAGTCCGCTCTTCACGAGCTTTAGTTAGGCGTCGAAGTATTATTGAAGCTAATATTTTAGACACCATATTAGTCAGACTGATTCCTGTGTGATTGTCACAAGAGGACTTTTGTCCTTTCTTGTAGACTGGCACAATCAGTGATTGAGACCAGTCAGATGGGATTGCGTCCGGTTCCAAAATTCTACCTAAGACCTCAGTTAATCTCACTGCTAATACTGGACCACCATCCTTAAAAATCTCAGGACTAAACCTGTCAGGGCCTGCTGCTTTCCCTCGCTTCAGATTTCCTGTAGCTTTCTCAACTTCGTAAAGAGTCGGAGGATTTATATTAACTTTCCATCCAGGTCAACTGGAGATCGTGGGAAACCGAAGTGTGGCTAAAAGCCAGTTGAACTGATCCCTAAAGTGTTCTGCCCATCGATCCAATCTCCTGGATTGAGAATGTATAATATGTCCATCTTTTTCTGAGATAGTTTCGATAACAGTCAGGTTCCTAATACCGGTTTCCTTAATAAGTCTGAACAGTTGTCTGCTATTACCTATTGCCGCTGCCTTTTCCATCTCTCTTGCTTTCGCTATCCACCACTGTTCGCGATCATTGCGTAGGCTTCTTGTCAGCTTGTGCTTAAGCTGACTCCGCTCTTCGTTGTGTTCAGAGCCAGATGGAATGAGTTTTCGAGCATCTATCAGTGCGGTAGCTGCTGCTGAGATTCAGTGTTGCTCCCTAACCTTACGCTTTACCGTACTAGCAGATATCACTGCGGTTTCCACAGCTCTTCGGATATCATTCCATGCTGCCTCGGGGTGGGCATCACCTACATGGCTGCCTGTTTTTCTAGTGGATCCTGAAATATACTCTTAGCTTGACTATCATTAAGTAGGGCCCTAAGAGGTTTCCTTGCAGCATCTTTCTTACGTCCAGTAAGACGCAAGCAAATACGCGCTCGCACTAGAGCATGATCTGAATCTAAGCATATGCTCCAGAATGAGCGACAGTCTTCTATTGAGCCCCTCCATCGGTGGCTGATAGCGATGTGATCTATTTGGGTCCAACGTTGGGACGATTTAGGGGGTCACCATGTTAAAAGATGTTTTTCCTCATGCTTAAAGTTAGTAATTGCAAGAAACAGGCGGTTATCTAAGTATAGCTGCAACAGACGGTCGCCATTGTCTGTTCTTTGAGCCACGACACCATAAGATCCACCCAGGTGTCTTTCCCTTTCGCTTAGTTTACCTACTTGAGCATTAAAGTCACCAGCCACTATTACTACATCAGAGCGCCTAGCTTTTCGGAGGTCGGAAAGCTTTCTGTAAAATTCATCTTTTACATCATCTGAGCTGCAGTCAGTGGGAGAATAGGCAGAGACGACAAAGAGGCAACGACGAGTGTCCCTATCCTT